TATGGGGCTGGTTTACTCTATCAAAGGATATTTAAAATTGGTTAAAATAAAAACTCTACACAATAACTAATGTCTGATGTAGGCTAGTGGGGTTAGTATATAATATATTTTTTTGTGGGGTTTAGCTTCAATAAATAAAATATAAAGAAAAATTAGAGTATATTATATGGAACTTAAAATAGATTTTTTAATATGAGACTATTATTACGACGTACGCGTTTTTAGTAAAAATAGCCAAACAAATACTAATATTTTTGGGGTCACCTATAGAGCATCGATAATTAGATGTGGGCGCGGGCCGTTGAAATTACGCGTTACACTATGGGCCACGGCGGGAATGTAAATAAATTTTAAATTATTAGGGGCCACAGGCCCTTCACAAAATTTAAAAATTTTAAAAAAGAGAAGAGAAGAGAAGAGAAGAGAAGAGAAGAGAGAAGAAGAGAGAGAAGAGAAGAGAAGAGAAAGAGAGAAGAGAAGAGAAGAGAAGAGAAGAGAAGAGAGAGAAGAGAAGAGAAGAGAAGAGAAGAGAAGAGAAGAGAGAGAAGAGAAGAGAAGAGAATTGAATTGAAATGAATGAAAAATAGTAAATCTCTCTCTCACTCTCGTTTAGTAATGGGAAATTTGGTAATAAATAAATATAATATGTTTTATTTATATACTAATAATTAGCTTAAATATTTATTATTATAGTAAAATAATAGTTAAAAGAAGGGGCTTAAAATTTTAAAATTGGTAACTTTAAAAAAAAAATATTTGGAAAAGTATTGAAATATTTTTAAGTATGTATTATTTGTCAAACATAAATTATTATAGTATTAAAAATATAATGTGAATTTACTACGATTACAATTTTAAAAAAAATAACATTATATTTCTTATTTAAAAAATTTTATTTAGGGCAAATTATCGTAAATATCTTCTAAAATATCGTCATTAAGATTTCTAGGTCCGACAATATAAAGAGAATGATCGTTCAACGCTAACCTAGTAATTAATTAAGTTTATAATATAAAACATATAATGTCCTCGTGTTACTTGGACAGCTTGTTCTGGATAAATCTAACTAGTCTCTTCCCAGTCTAAAATATTTGAATCCTTATTAAATTCTTTTAATGTGTGAAAAAAAAAATTTCTAATAATGAGCTAATTGGAATCTATTCACTTTAGATGCTGTGTTAATTAATTTTTTTTCTTTTCTTTTTCTAATAACAATTTTTCAAAATCATCAAGATGCATGCAGAATATTATTATTCTAATAAGTATCCTTTCTAAATCTCTTATGCCCTAAATATCTCATTGGAAATATTATTGTCTATTTTACCCCAATTCGGATAGGGGCACATTTGCTCCGATTGTAGATTCAAGGTTGTCACCCTTAAGTGGTTTCAAAAACTACACTTATGTTAGCTATCGAATCTCAATCTGTTTCCTCTAGAATAACTTTCCTATGTTGTAACAAAAATCCATACAAAAATCTTTCAATTTTAAACAATCGACCCAGCATATCGTAAACCGATGACCATCTTGTTGTACAGTCTATTATTCCCATAGGTTTTTTTTTCAGTGATGATTCAAACGATCATTGGAATATTCTTAAAAATTTTGTCACTTGCCTTGCTCGATCAATAATCGAATTGGCATAACGCGTCTTTAAAAAAATCATCAATGGCTAACTGTAATGTGTGTGCTTGCACGTCTAATGCTATAAACTTTTGAAGTTAAATCTTCTCAACATCTGGGCCAGACCTGCTATTTCTACATTTGTTCCATCTTCATCCCAATTCCCCGACCCCTTCCCCATCCACAGATCCATTTAATAATCTTCATAGATTTTGATTAAATTTGCCCCATTATCGGTTGTTATAATGTATAGGTGTTGTTTAATGGAATGCGCCAAATTTATTCAGGGTCTTCTAAAATCATTTTTTTTTTTAAATTATCTCCTTTTTAACTATTCCTTCTATTTCTTTCATTGCCAAATTTCTTAATACGATAATTATCGAACATACTTAATATTTATTCTCTCCCAGAATCAATTTTTAAACAAACTAATTTATTTTTTTTGTTTCTTCTTTTAATTTTTCTCGCAATTTTTTTTTGTAAAAACTCATTCTGTAATCAAGTCTCTAATTTTATAACGATTAGTGGGGTGGACACACACCAGGGCTTTTGTGATAGGGTCAATAATTTTTTTTAAACCCCGAAGTCTTCAATTATTGAAAAAGGGCGGCCATTAATGGTCACCATCTCAACCAACGCATTTGTCAGATCTTTCTTCTGCCATCGAAATATGGATTAGAATTTATTTTTTTTGTATAATATATCAGATTTGGTTGTAATCGAAGTTTTAGTCGACGTTTTTATGATTTACTCATCGAATTGTTTCGAGCGATTCCTCAAATATGTCTAGTGTTGTTAAACGGCTTCGGCTAACTCGATATTTAAACCAGAAAAATATTATCTAAGCCTCGATATTTCGTTAATATATGTTTAGACCTTCGCGTAGTATTTTTCTGGACGAAATATGGAGTTAGCCATTTTTAAAAATCGGCTCAGCCCTTTAACCAACACTAAATATGTCTCTCTAAATTGCTATTATGTCTCCCTGATAAATACTACATCACTCACATATTATTCTACACTCACAATCTCCCTTATCATTGAATTTGAAATGTTAGGCTAATAAATCCTTTGATTTTTTATCTTACAAATTTAATTTTTTTCTTTTTAAACAAATTATTTAAATTTAAAATAAAACTATCTAAACAAAATACGTGATCATAAAATACATTAACAGATTTTTACCTTATTTCGATTATAATTTAGATTATCACATATTCTAGGAAATATTATTTGATTATTTAAATTTACTTTATAAATAAATAGCAACCATTTATATATTTTTTTTTTATAAAATTGTAATTTATTTTGCAAACATTTTTGAAAAAATATTTTATCACCTGATTTTGTACAATTTAATAATCAACAAACAATAATATCCTAAAAAATAGATATTATTATATAAAATAATCATTTATAAAAAAGAGAAGAAAAAAACTATTAAATTTTTGCTTTGTTAGGTAAAATTTAAAAAATTTTACGAAAAATGGCCGACCCTTAATAACAAGAAAGATTCCACTAGAAAAATATGTTCAAAACATGTTTTTCGTTTTTTTTATTATATAATTTAAAATAAATAAAATAAGTTGAAAAAAAAAATAAGAGTTCGGGTTCGGTTTCAGCGAAATATCGAGGGTTCGGGTTCACATTAGAGATCTACAAAAGTAGGCCGGCCCGGCCCGTATTTTTTAAGAAAATTCGGACCGGGTCGGGTCGGGCAAAACTTTATAAAAAAAAATTCGGGTTCGGGCCGGGTCGGGTCGGGCAAAACTTTATAAAAAAATTCGGGTTCGGGCCGGGTCGGGCAAAACTTTATAAAAATTCAGGCCGGGTCGGGCTTGAAAAATTAGGCCCGATGCACATCACTCACATCCCTTACTTTTAGATAAAATTATTTCAAACTTTATTTTAAAAAATCTATTGATAATTTTTAAAAGTTAAATTAAAATGATTAATAAATGAAAACTTGGAATTAACGAAATGAAAAATGAATATTATTAAGGGGTCAACTTCATGGGGGCAACGTGGTCCCTCCCATTCACAAACAGAAAAAAAAAATTTTAATAAAATATTCAAAATTTGTTATTCCAAATTTTAGAAAAACATTGGCCCATTTTTTTATTTATTTATCTGTCATATGATTGGTTAAATTTTTTTTATTTTTTATTTATTTATATTTTTTTATATAAAAAATGATATTTTTTATTATTGAAAACCCATTGGTTGTTAATTTTTGCACATATTTTGTTGAATGTTATTTTTATTATAGAAAATTAATTTAGCCATTTATTGTAAAAAGATTAAAGAAAAACGAGATGAACAGGATACAACTTTAAATAAAGGGGGAGGGTAAATTGGATGAAAAAAATTTTTATGGTAAACAATAGATATTTTTTTCCAATTAGGGTCATGTCCTTAATTAAAAAAATAAATTACTCAAAAGTTTTACGAAATACACAACTTTCGTGAGTTTTGAGAGATAACGAAACATGTCCTAGATCATCATCCTTTAAATTTTGAAAATGATTGATTAATTCTTTGCTGTATCCCTATACTTTAAAGTCTCGCCATTGCACCAAAGATATGTTATCTTATATTTTCCATCAGCTGAATATTCACCTCGCCATTTTGGTTGCGATAATTACTCAAATTACAAAACTTTTATGATAGAAAGATTAGAGGGAAAAAATCATTTAGGCCAACATTTTATATTTTCCATTAAAAATGGTTTATTAATTTTTTTTCGCTAGATTCGGGCAAATCGCGCGATTTCAATTTTTTGATATTTAGGACATAGCCTTACCTTGAATTCATAGTGGCGCGATTGCGATCGCGATTTAACAGCTGATTGATTTTTAAAATCTGTTTATGAGATCAATTATTCTCTATTACAGTGAAACGATACACATGTTTAAATATACTACAAAAGGGGGTAAACAAAATAAGATTTTATTTTTAATAGAATAAAGATTGAAATTAAATATGGACAAGCAATTAATTAAGAAGATTAATAGTTGATTAATCATTATAAAAATATATATAATTTGTGATGAAAACTGAATTTTTTTTTATTTTCTTTGAGAATGCTCAAGTAAGATATTTGATTAAATTTCATTTAAAATTCTAAATCATTTTTTGTAAAAAGTTTTTTTAATATTTGAAAATATTTTAGAAAATCTTAAATGTAATCTATTTTGTATATCCATTTATTTCGATAAAAATATGATAACACTATAAACTTTTATAATAATTTCGATAAAATAATTAATACATAAAAAATATAATTATAATTTATCAAAATATTCCATTTTTCCAAAAATTTGATGTTGGTACCTTTTTAGAAATTAAAAGAGTTAATATTATAATTATTAATACAAATGGATTATAAAGATTACCTAATTAATCAGTTGCCCGCGATAACCCAACTCCAAATAGCTTTGCATGTGATTGTAAAATTTAGTGAAATCATAAGGAATAAATCCGTGTAAGAGTTGAATAATATTCCTAACAATTTCATCTCTTGAATTAGGGCGGGGATTGATTGCTCTAAATTTATTTTTCAAAACTCCAAAAAAAATTTCAATTGGATTTAACTGAGGTGAATAAGGTGGTAGGTATTCAATCCTACCTTTAGACATATTTTGCGATGTCTTTTATTTTCATTTGTTGTTTTTCCGGCATTGATAACATTTTGGTAACTATATCTAATTTTTCTTTATTCCAATATTTGTGTATTCTTTTTGGTCTTTGAATTCTCGACGAAGATTGGGAGTTTTCATTTAAATTGGAAAAATTAGTATTACTATTGGATAATAAAGATTCTATATTAAACATTTTTTTTTATTATTTAAGAAAAATTAAAAATAATTAATATGTAAGTATTTTAATTTTTTATTTTGAATTAAATTTTAACACATTTTTTTTATAATGATTAATCAACTATAAATCTTCTTAATTAATTGCTTGTCCATATTTAATTTCAATCTTTATTCTATTAAAAATAAAATCTTATTTTGTTTACCCCCTTTTATAGTATATTTAAACATGTGTATCGTTTCACTGTAAAATCATTATTTCTTAGATTATTATTAAAATTTGAATTACTGATAAAATTAATATTAACAAATAAAAATTGATCTCATAAACAGATTTTAAAGATCAATCAGCTGTTAAATCGCAATCGCGCCACTATGAATTCAAGGTTACTACGTAGATTGTATATTTTTTCTCTGAATTATAAATTTTTTTTAACAGCTGATTATTTTTTTAAAATTTAAATATTATCTGAGCATTACAAATTCAAATTCTTGACACTTTATTTTTTTTATTTAATTTTTTTCAAAATTTAAATATAAAAAATTTATAATAAAAATATGTGTTTCTATACATTTTATAATAGGAAATGCTTGAATATTATTCTTCTAAAAACAACTTTTAAAAGATATTCAAATTTAATTAATATTTTTCTCTTTTTAAATAAATATGGGTTCAGGGTCCACCAATTTGTAAGAAAATTTATGGGAAAAAAGTCAAATGATCTTACGGGTAATACAATCTTTGATTATCTTGTCTATTTTTTTTTGGAAGGGGGGGGGGGGGAATCTTGGCTATTTTTGGGGGAATAATAGTGTCCTTTTATGGGAAATTTATTAATACGACAAAAACACCTGTTTCATAGAAGAAGAAAAAATACGAACCAGAACTAAGAGGGACGATACCTAAATATGTAGCTATCCTCCAAGATTTAACATATTTTGTTTTTAGGTCTCGCCAAAGACGCTCAATAGACTGGGTATTTTTATGTATGCTTGTATTAGGCCTCATTCGTGGTGGCATCCGATCCGACACGATTTAACAGCTGATCGATTTTTAAAATCGGCTTACGAGAAATCAATCTTTCTTTATTAAAAACCAATATTTATTAGGGTTATTATCATGTACGGAATTTAAGATAAAATTTAATTATTATTTTAAAAAAAAATTGATCTCATAAACAGATCTTAATAATCAATCAGCTGTTAAATCGTGTCGGATATCGGATCCCACTATGAATGCCGCCTTAACCGGGACAATAAAGAATAATATTTCCAATTAAATATTTAAAACATGTATTTTCAATAATAAAAAAAATATTAAATAAAATATATTAAAAAAAATTCATTTAAAAAAATATTAAAATTATTTTTTTTTTACAAAAAAAGAATAAAATATGTGTATAAAAATTAACAACCAATGGTTTTTCGATAATAAAAAATATCATTTTTTTATACAGGGTAAAAGTTCGCACAAATTGAACATTTCAAAGCTGTGCGTTTCAAAACGCAAATAATGCATGCATTCGTTAAATTGAGTACGTTTGCGTTTTGTATTTTAAATTATTGATATGCGTTTTAAAACGCTGCTTTGAAACGTTCAATTTGTACTCACTACAAGTTATTATAATAAAAACAAAAAAATTAAAATTAAAAGAATGAAACAATATTTGTCTTTATTTTTACTAGCGTTGTTAAACGGCTCGTTTTGAGCCGATTTTTAAAAACGGCTAACTCAATATTTCGGCCAGAAAAATATTACCCCTAAGCTTCAAGATTTCGCTAATAGATGTCCAAACTTCCTTCTACAAACAAAATCTTCAGGTTTGCTTAATATTATTCTGGGGATGAAATATTGAGTTTAGCCGTTTTTAAAAAATCGACTCAAAACGAGCCTTTTTAACAACACTAATTTTTACGTATATTACTTAAAAAATAAATGACGCTTCCTTCTTCCTTCCTTCCTTCCTATTAGTATATAACAAAACACTACACAAACAAAACACTACACAAAAAAAAAATACATATGGTATAAATTTTAATGTAATTTTTTTTTGCAATTAAAAATTTTTATATTACTTAAAATTTTTTTTTTGTTTTGCAAAATACAGTTTAATAAAAAAAAATTTCCAAATGTTTAATATACGACAAATTTTATATAGTAGCACAAATAATACAAATCATTTACATCGAATCCTGATCCTGTTTATTCTAACTCAAAAACTAATATATCTGCTACAAATAATTTCCATATTATCAATTCTCCCTCTAATTGAGTGGTGATTCTATTATTGATCCAGTAAATTTAATCTCGGCAATTCCAAGAAGGAATTATAAAAAAAACTGGAATGATGAAAAAAAATAGATATATAAATAAAAAAAATTATTATCTGTACCTGATGAGAGAGCGAACGAAAATAAAAAATATCGCCAAGTATTTAGATATGTCTTTATCGCCTATTTAATAAAATTAAAACACGAAACATTTCCCGAAATCATTGGAGACCCTTAGAAAGATCGTGTGATTGGAAAAGAGTGGCAGGGGAAAAAAAGAGGACAACTTCAATGTAGAAAGAAAAATAATGGGACTTTTAATATCTAACAATACATTAACTAAAGATATTATGGAAAAATTATCCTCCGGGATTTCCTATATAAGAGGGGAACTGTAAGGAATTATATTTAAAAAAAATATGATGATCCAGGAGTAACCTGATAGGGGGAACACACTGGGCAGAGTCAATATACGCCAGCCGAAGAAAAAATATTTTTTACACCCCCCACCCCCTCCATCTACCCCCCAGACTAAGTCGTACCCATCAAGACCAAGAATGAAGACTTTCGATCTTAAGATATTAAAATTATTAAAAACGGCTAAAACTCAATATTTTAACCTGAAAAATATTGCCTAAGCCTAGAGCTTTCGCTGATAGAATGTCCAAACCTTTGTTCCTTTTACAAATAAAATCTTCAGGGGTTGGGTAATGTTATTCTAGATGAAATATTGAGTTTAGGCCGCATTCATAGAGGATCCGATCTGACACGATTTAACAGCTGATCGATTTTTAAAACCTGTTTATGAGATCAATTTTTTTGTAATAATATTAATTTTGTCTTTAATTCTATACATGATAATAACCTAAGAAATATTGATTTTTATAAAGAAAAATTGATTCTCTTAAACCGATTTTAAAAATCGATCAGCTGTTAAATCGTGTCGGATCGGATCCACTATGAATGCGGCCTTAGTCGTTTTTTAAAAATCGGCTCAAAACGAGCCGTTTAACGACACTAATCTCCCTAAAGAAAAAGGGAGACATAATTATCAGTTTTCAAATATTTGGAAAGATAATATTTGTAAAAATTAGAAAAAAAATAAAAAATATTTTATGCTGACTTCAATTATTTTTTATATATACAAAAAATATATAAAAGGTTGATAAAATAGCAAGTTAATTTTGTAATAATATTTATTTATTACAATGATGATTAAAAAAATTTATTATATCTTTATAACTTGTTCAGTATATTTATTATGGATCAACCTTGACAAAGGGGTATATTATAACCAGGTGAATTCAATATCAAAAGATTATAATCTTTCAAAACCGGCTTCGGAATTTGATTTGATTGATGATCCAATAAAACCTGTAGTGTTTAATTTTTCCAGCGACCTACTGGCCTTTATTCACGTGCAGAAGACGGGCGGAACTCCTTTCGAATACGTCTTAACTCACGATGTCATTGGTGCGCCTATATGTCATTGCGAGAGAATTGTGAAACTGGTTCACACATGTATCTGTCCCAGGGATGTAAAATCCCATTCCAATGATTTATCCCAAACCTGGCTTTTTTCGAGATTCAATGATAAATCACATTTATGCGGAATTCATCCTCCCTTCATATGGGTCAGAAAATGTTTGCCCATATGGGTAAAGAACTTAAAATTGCGCAAAAATTATAAGAAGAAATGGAAATCGTACATCAAAAGTAATGCTATCGAAATCAAGGATGGTCGAATTTCTGGCCCTGGGATCGATGATAATACCATGAGGAAAACCAACTTGGAAAGGTTAGTTAATGTACATTAAATTAAATAACGGTATTATATGTCGTAGGAGTTTAACCTATTTTTCCTATATATTCTGGTTTTTTTAGCAAATTTTGAAAAGTGTTTTTTTTTTAAATTTTGAAAGACCTGATTTTGCCGAAATCGTATTTTAAGCATGTAGTATAAATTTACCCAAGTAAATTTTCAGACAATTTCAACAGTAATATATTTGTGTAAATTTATATTAAAAAAAATATATATATATATTATTATTATAAGTAACACAAGAGTTGTTCAAAAGTTGATGCTAAAATGTTTAAAATTCCTAAGGCAGCTTAAGTGCTGAAACACAATTTAACGATTTGCTAGAAACCCGAATCAACACCCACGATATACTAAATATAAATAAATAGTCGCTTTATGAAAGATACTTTTTACGGCCCGGCTCAAAAATTTTAAGCCCGGCTTGAATATTTTTTAAATAAAAAAATTTTTTTAGGCCCAGAATTTTTTAAAATTAATATTCGACCTGGTATATACAAAAAATTTACCTATTCGGTATTTTATCATTATTTTTCGTCGAGTATTATCATTTAATAAGCTAGCATATTAGGCTAATGTTGTTAAAGGGCTCGTTTTGAGCCGATTTTTAAAAACGGCTAACTCAATATTTTCGCCAGAAAAATATTGAGTAAGCCTAGAAATTTCTATACTATATGTCTAGACCTTTGCTCCTTCTATGGACAAAATTTTCAGGCTTGCGCAATAAATTGACACTATAAAAAATTTGTGAAAATAATTCTTTGAGAATATACTATATTAATTGTATTTATAAAATAAAAATAAAACTATTTTAATTAATAAAAAATATAAACCATTGGCGTACGCAGCGAGAGGGGGGGGTAGGGGGACAATCCCCCCCCCCCAAAGCCAAAAAATGCAGATGCCGAATATATTTTTCAAAAATATTTTTGTTTGGAGTGTTGTGCAGATTTAATTTAAAACATTTCCATATTTTTTAATTCGTTTATAAATAAAAATTTTAACTTGTAAAAATTGATAAGAATATATAAATATGTTATTTTAACAACTTTTTACAAGTCAAATAATTTTATTTTCAAATAATTTAATAAATATGGAAATGTTTTGAATTAAATTTACACAGTACTATATTAATTTATATTTGTTAATATTTATTCCTATCTCATATTAAATATATATTTAATTCATTCATTCATTCATACAATATTCCACCAATGAAAACGTTTATTTTATTAAATATGATAAAAATCCTCTACGCCAGTTGAAAACAGGTGTTTAAAACTAGCGTTGTTAAACGACTCGATTTGATTGGATATTTAAAAACGGCTAACTCAATATGTTATCCAGAAATAATGTTTCACAAGGCCTGAAGAGTTTTGATCATAGATGATCCAAAGGTTTAAGACACGTGTCACCGAAATCTCGAGGCAATATTTTTCTGGCTAAAATATTGAGCAAGCCATTTTTAAGAATCGGTTCTAATCGGGCCGTTTAACAACCCTAGGTTTAACCCAGAGAAAGTTGGATTGAGCGCTAAAATATATTATTATTTTTATAAAAATTTTATCTTTATTAACTATGGAGTTTTTTTATTAATTTTTTTTTGAAGTAACATTTACAGCATATTAAAAGTAATTTCATATTAACACACTATATCTATAATCATCATAAAAATATATAATTAAAAGAAGGGGAAATTTACAAAAAAAAAAAGAAGAAAATTATTATTTAGGTATGGTCGGCGGGGCTTAATGATCCATGTTAGGATATGCAGTTGGAACGGCAGATTTCGATTGATATTCTTTGTCGAAGGTAGAAGCCTTTTTTGGGATCACCTGTGATTAAAACCTTTGCCCTCTTGTTTTGAATAATTTTAGGGCTTGGGGTCCAAACGATCCACAGGTGTCTGAGACTACCAGAATGAACAAAACATTATTAAGGTGGGCAATATTTATTGGGTTTTTTTTTTGTATTCTCCTAAAAAATTATTTATTATATATTCAAAAATGCATGCAATATTGCTTCATATTTTTTATTAATCTAAGTTCTATCTGACATTCTCAATTCAATGATCCTTCCTTCCTTCCTTTCGTCCTTCTTTCCAAAGAAAGAGAAAGAAAGAAAGAAAGAAAGAAAGAAAGAAAGAAAGAAAGAAAGAAAGAAAGAAAGAAAGAAAGAAAGAAAGAAAGACATTATAAGGTTCGTACAATCCTGGTTTTGCAGTCCCCATGTTTGCAGAAACGGCAAAACCTTTGCTACCCAAATTTTCTTTTGATATTAAATTATTTTATTTTTATATAAAAAATTTTTTTTTATAGAACATATTTCATAACTCTCGTGAGGGATCCGATAGCTAGAATGTGAGCGAGTTTATACATATCAGGAGAAGCCAAAATTGGCCCAAATCTTACATAGTATGCCATGATGGAATAATCCAACAACCCGATTGTTACTATAAATATACCAAAAATTTGACTCTTATGGATTTTGTTTCCTGCAACAAAAGCTGGTCTAACAATAGAATGACTAGACATTTCGCTGATTTTCCTTCGATAGAATGTAATAAAAGGTAATTAATGGTATATTTTTTTTTTAAAAAAAAATATTTCAAATGCTATAATCAATAAAAGAGATAGAACTTGATCAAATTAACCTTACCAAAGAAAGAAAGAAAGAAAGAAAGAAAGTTATAAAAAAATATTCTATAATAGCTACCAAAATGTACAGAAATGTTATGATTATTTTTATCTACCGATATATTTTTTAAAAAAAAGTCTAACAGCTGATCAAAAGGATGATTTATTGCTCAAGAATGCCAAACATAATTTACTGAATGGGTTTCAGACATTCGGGATTCCTGAATATTTTAACGAATCTAGATTCCTTTCCCATAAAATGTTGGGCCTAAATTTTTCCTGGACTTACGAATTTTCGAACGACACTTCATGGATTGAATCCTACCAAAATGTTTCCGACTTCATCAAAAAGAAAATCTTTTATAATAACCGGCTCGATATAAGTTTATACGCTTTCGCCAGAAATCTATTTCAACTAAGATTAAAGCGTTACAATTACGTATTGTCGGGGGTACCGATAAATTAATACAAAATCCTGATATTGTTTTCATTGAAAATATATTATAATTATATTTTCTAACTAAATAATTGGGAACAAATTGTAAATAAACTAAATAAATTTAATAATCATAATAATAATAAAAATTAAGACTAACTATAAAAAAATAATGTTAGATAATTAACTAATGACTAATAATTTGTATTGGATGATACAGTACTACTATTTTTTTCCTTTTAAATATGCTCATAATCTTATTCACTATGCTATTATTATTATTATTGGATTGGGTGAGTTCCACTCCTCTTAATAATTATATCTGGGTTACAAGGTTTGTTGGTATCCTTGAGGAAAAAAATCGGCATAATTATTATGGAGGATAGGGCCTCTATAGTAATTCACGTTCGCTCATTTTGGGCAGGTCCATGACCAACGTGCTAGATAAGATAAGATAACATTTTTAATAGGAAAATAAAGGTTTTAACGAGATATCGCTATATATTTTTAAAAAAAAATTGTAACATGCTAAGTGTATCGATTAAAGTTGGGCACGTGCTTCGTAAAAATGATTACAAAAAATTTTGATTGTTGGGGAGGGGACAGGGATAAAACGATAGGTATTACGCATTTTTACAATAAATTTTTGAAACATAAATAAAAACAAGAACAAATTATAGATTTATATACAGCCAAATCCCTCATTCACAAAATTTTATCCCATCTATACCCATAGTAATATTACTAAGCAACAGGGTAAAGTGGTTAAAATAAAGTTTGAACATAACTATACTGTTTATTGAACAAAATGTTGCAATTTTGACATCTTTTTGCCACTTTTTAAATATAAACTAATTATAACAATATAGAAACATATAAAGTTTTACCAAAAATAGCTCATTTTGAGCGTCCTCGTTATATCCAAATATGATTTAGAAAGCTATTTATTTATAATATATTGATAATAAAATAGAAGACACAAAATATTATGCTGGAATGAGGGGCATCAACGCACCTCGTATTGTATCGAGGAAGGAGAAAATGTAAATGTAGTTAATTTGGTTGGAAGAATGAAAATGATGAAAGTGCCAAGACTTCTTATAAAGAAAATGAGCTTGCACTTCCAAGAAATAAAATGGATAGGTTAGATTTTTTAGTTATTCATATTGCAAATATTTTTTACAACTGATTTGAATTCAGGTATCACCAAATAGGCCAGCGTCTATTAGTGGTTTATAAGCACGATTCAGGGTCAATTTTAAAATGACCCCATCAAAGTTATAACCAAAATAATATTATGCAAGTCTAGAGATTTTGCTTTATAGATGGCAGAAAGGTTTTGAACATCTATTTGCCATATGACGAAGCTTTCATAATATTTATTTGGATCAAATCTTAATCGGCCGTTTTTTAAAAATCGAATAAAAATACCAAAATCACTCAAATCATAAAGACTGTTACTAATAATGAAAGAAGATTTTATTTTAGTTTTTATAAATAAGTATAGGTTGAATAAAATGATTGGAGCTGATTCAGTTTTTTGCCTTCCTTGTAAGATCTGAGATACTGTAGGATCCCCTGAATCAATTTGTTGCACATCTGGGAAAGGGGTTCTAACTTAAACAATGGTAAATCAATCGATACCAAACCGTTCAGGCTAGTATATAAAAAAAGTGTGTATTCCTATTCCTTATATAAATATTATTTGACAGAAGAGAATATTGAAAAATATTTTCATTGTACGAGATAATGACAAAATTTGCGATATTTTATTGAGAGGGGCTAAATTTCGCCTCACTGTAATTTACTGTCCTGGTGTAGTATAAATGAAAATTTAAATAATGTTACAAATTAGATACCTTTTGAATTTTTATATACATTACATTATAAAAAGATTATTTTAAAAATATATATATATATATATATAAATTTAATAATAGTGATAAGAAATTGTGTGAAAATTTTGAAGATTTTGAAATTGCCATATATTTATGTGACTTAGTTCGTTGAATGTTGGGTATCACATTTTTAGTAAAACGTCATTCGGTCATATTTATTATTAAATTTTAGGGCCGAGTTTGGCCATGGGTAGATCTGCGAAGCTTTACTTCTAACCTTAGCTTTTTAGTTCTGGCTCAGGCAGGCTTACGAAATATTTCTAAATCGGGCCCTCTAAATAATAAATTAAATAATTTCGCATCTTTTATTAAAATAGAGTAATTTAATTATTATGCCTCTCAGTTTAATGGCTGCTCTTAGTTTACCCGAATAAGCCAGCTTCCAATCTGATCCGCATTCTCCATCAAATCTTGTCTTTCTCGCCATTTGTGGGAACTTAATTATACAATTTATTTGTAAAATAGTTCAGAATTTTACATTATTTTTTGTTATTTTATCCTAAAAAAAAAAAGAAAAGGATTTTAAAATATCTAACGAGTAAGATTCAGTTAGCGTTGCCCAAACGTCGATTTAGCCATTTTTAAGAATTAACTCAAAATTTACCTTATTGGTTTTTCCCACAGATATCAAAAAGGTTTGGACTTCTATTGGCGAAATTTCGAGGCATAAGTAATAATATCTTGATTTTGACCCTTTTGAAAAATCGTCTAAATGGAGCTGTTTTACAAACATTACTTTCACCTATAGGCATTGTAAACATTTTAAATGAGAATATTAACTTATGAAAAAAATAAATAATAATAATAAATACACTTAATTATTTGTGAAAGTTAGTTAGTTTTTTTTAAATAGAAAATATTGATGATATATTTATGACATTGATATAAAGATAGATGGTCAATAAAAATCAATATAAATATCGGAACTGTTTTTTTAGTAATATTGGAAAATATAAGATCGGATCGGTGAAAAATTTATGAATCAGCACAGCCATAATTTTAATTCATAATATTGCATATTTAATAAGTTTAAGTAAAAATGCATTAAAATAAATAAAGAGCCAAAACAACCGATAAAATTATTTTTGAACGTTAAATCGGCAAATTAAACAAAATTTATATATAATGAGCAGGCGAGTGAATTGAAAAAACCATTAGCGGGCGGGTGAGTTAAAAAAAATTTCAACAATGAGCGTGTTAAAATCCTTCAAATTCCTACATCATCATTTTTTAAAATCATATTTGGCACTTAAAATGTGTAAGTTTTAAGAATATATTTGACTCTCCTGGCAAAAGACATAAAAAATTTTAAAATAACAATTAAAGTCACTAATGTTTTTTTTTAGGCGGTATGTTATTTTTTCAAATTTAAATCATTTTTTGACCGCGTTTTTTTAAATTTAAAAAACCTGATTTAACCATAAATGTATTACAGCATGTTTAGAATACGTATCTTATGAATTTTAGACAATTTTAGCCTTAAATTTTGCGTCATTTATAATTTATATAAAAACTCTAAGCCAAAAAACCAATATAAATAATATCAAGTTTCTGAAATTCAATAGGGTAGGTCTTCTAAACATGCTGGTGGTACACATTTCCGGTGAGATCTTTTAAATGTTTAAATACGCGCTCAAAAAATGATTTAAAGTTGAAATAATAACACATGTCGCTAACATATACATATATGTTTAAAATATAAAAGCTATAAATTAATCCAATTCTAAGAATGACCCAGTTTCTCATGTGATATTTTTTCAATCTGTGCTATGAAAGTTTTAAACAATTTTCATTTATTTAATTTTTTTTAAATATATTTTTATAATATTCCATGAAGTTTTAAAAGTTTTCACAATATAATTATAATCTATTAACAATTTACAACAAAAATTCGTCAGGCAAAGGTTTAAGGGTAGGGAAAAAACCTATCACATCTTCCAATAAATTGGCCGTGTAGAGTAAAAGAGATTCTGTAAAGTGATTCGACATTAATTGTAATCCTATAGGCATGCCCGTACTAGACAACGCTATAGGTATAGATATGGCGGGGATACCTTATAATATTTATTTAAATATAAATTTTTAGATTAATATTATAACTAACATCATGATAAAGAATAATGATAATGGATTCTTTCATTTATTGAAAGAGAAAAAAAAAATAAGGTGATTAATCGTTAACAATTATGTCGATCATAATAATATGAAACCAAATCAGAAATAAATATAGGTACCGGCTAAATTAGCGTGAACCGTGAATATATCCTGATCCATCACTTGTTCGTGAGTGTATTCGAGATATTCCGAATATTTTGGAGCGGTTGTCAATGTAACAGGTGTCAATATAATATCAACGCAGTTGGGGTTTGGCTCATATGAATAATCCCTATTAGAAGAACGTTCCGAGTAAGAAACAAAAATTTTGGAAAAATCTTGACAAATTAGGCGTCTGACCTTACAAGCCTGTTGGAAGAAGGCTTCTGCGTTTCTGTATAAATTAATATTTTTAGGTAAGATCGTTACTTAATTTATAACATCGTAAGGGGGTAGGGGGGAGGGTTGAAAAATTGTAATATAAATATATTGAAAAAACTTTCCGGTTAGAAAATAGTTTCCAGCCAATATTCTTCCTTTGACAATTTCGTTGAATCCGATTGTTCTAGTGTCTGCCATAGTCGATTCGCGTAAACCTAAAATACATATTTTTTCAAAAAAAAAAAGATAAGGTTAAAATTATGGGACATGGATGTTATCAGATTCTAAAACTTTCCCGAAATAAATATAGAACATTGCCAAATAAAATATAAATTATATTAAATTAAATATAACACTTCTATTAATTATTTAGTTAGAAAATTATGGTGATTATGTTTAAAATAGTTTCAACTGCCTTAATTATAAAATAAAATATGGCCATAAAAAAGACATATGACTCCCACTAAGGAGAACCCACGAAATGTTAAAAAAAATTGGTAATCTGTGTTTGAACTCGAAAATATTTTCTCTTTTACTTCGGGTTCAGTTCGAGACCGAGGTTGTCTGACTTTGCATTTAATCGCCCGATATAACCCCACCCGTTCAATCTACAATAAATGTGAATGCAAAGACCATTTATTTCTACTGCTGGTCTATTAGCTCGTTAAGACAGATGGAGCCAATTAAGTGGGATCGTTTTTATAAGATGAAAGGATATAGTTAGTGATAACCGGATAGCAAACAGGATCGGTGCACAGATATCTAGCATACTCTTTCCTCTTCATTAATGGGAAAACAGGCTCAGTATGCTGGATAAACATTTAGTTAAAATTGATTTCTGTAAAGTTATTATAATACTAAAGTGAGGGCATTCAGCAAGGCCATCCCTTGGGGCATTTTGTTTGCTATGATGTAATTAAAAATTCTGAAAATAAATATCCAGTTTCAGATAACAATGAGTCTCGTTCTAATAATGTAGGATTTCTAATTGGCATGCATTATCAGGAAACGAGGGAACATGGTTTAAAATTTTATTCCGAAATGGTATGGATCGTCTGGTAATTTAATCAGAGCGTTTCAGCTTAGTTCCAGAACTTCTAATTAAAAGTATTTTTAGCGACCCCAGAATGTTCAGACAAATTATGATTTTCAAAGTTAAGCCAGAATAGAACATTTTCCCATTTTAAGGAAACTGGAACGTGCATCCAAAATATGCAATGTTTCAACTCCAATGATCAAAACATTCTTATAAGTCTACAGAGCAGTCTTTGATAATAAATAAGTCTATGTATCCTATAAGGTTCACAAAATGCAGAAAGATGAAAAAAACAAAAAATAATTTGGTTCTAGTCCTAAGAATCTAATCTATTAGGAGAGAAAGAACGATATTTTTAACATTTTTCTAAGTGAATGAATGGCGACAGAGTCCTTGTTTTTGTTTAATAAATATTTTATTCCCTAACCATTTTTTATTTAAAAAAAGGATATAAAATTACCGTATCGTATCCCGTCATACCTAGCCATGTTGCTACAAATATCGGTCGCTGATAAAACGGTATAACATGCCAAGGAAACGTCGAAATGGGGCAATGCTTTGGGTAAAGTTGTAAGGGCAAATTTGACTTTTTTTGGAGGAGTTAAAATTTGTTCACTTTATTTTTTATATTTGCACGTTATGTTAAAAAAATATATAATAAAATGATCAAACTATATATTTACCTACTATCTCATTGTGGTCATACCAAGAGTAAGGCTGCATTCATAGTGGAATCAGATTCGGCAGAATTTAACAGCTGGTCCGCTTATGAGATCTATATATGAGATCAATTTTTATTTAATTAATCTTAATTTTATCTTTCATTCCATTCACGATAATAATGTAAGAATTATTGATTTTAATAAAGAAAGAGGTATCATAAACAGATTTTTTTATAAAAAGGATCAACTGTTAATCATGCGGGATGGGATCCTACCATGAATGCGCAACCTAATACAAAAAAAACATCATTTTTAAATGGCAGCTGTGGGTGAATCAGTAAGTTTTAGAGATTCAGATTGTTACAAGTGAAACGTAGATGGTCGGTGATTCGATTTCGAACGGCATCCATTTTTTTAAATAAACCTAATCGAATTATGTATAGCTAAGAATAGAAAGATATGAGGTAGGAAGTTTAAATATTTTTTTTTAAAAAAAATAAAATTTTAATAAAATCCGAAACGATAAATATTATCATCTTCATACTAGTAGAAATAAAATATTATTGTTTTTTTTAAAAAAAAAATACTTTTAAATTAGCTTAAACTTAAATGAATTCTAACTATATTCAAAATGGCGATTTCATCAATATTACAAACGTTAATTGCGCGGATTAATCTGTTGCACATTTTTAACTATAATAATATTAATAATATTTAATCGTGTCTCTCTCTTAATAAAGTCCCACTCTTCAGAATATAACTTTAAAAATATTTTGGCTAACAAATTTTATACAGTATTTTTTTGAATGGTGTAATATAACTTGTATATTTCAAAGATATCCAAAAAAATAATAAATATATAAGCATACTTTGATTTATCTACTAAACCATTCAAATGTTGTGGCACCAGGTACCTATCACCTATGTGAGAACTATAGTCCGCTAATTTATCCGCTATACGTAAAACTTCCGATCTGATCTCGGGATCGAGAGTAGGATGATTAAGGAATTCCTGATAATTTTTATTTTTATTATTAAATAAATTTTAATTAATTATTCATTATCGCGAGTTATTTATTTATAAAAATTTCAGAAATAAAATGTAATTATGAAGCGGGAAAGTATCATTGAAAGAGTTAATCCTCGAGGAATAAGATTGGGGGGGGGGGGGGAATAACAAGTAGAGGCAATGTGGGAAATTTTATACCACCTAGGTTTTATTTAGCGCTTTGGAACTTAAATTACAAAATTGATATGATTATCGATTCAGATTTCTATACCCTAGATAGTTTATAATATGGTTCTTTTATTACCCAAACACTCGGTCAAAAACATGGTTGTTTGAAAGTATATTTCACCCTCGTGGAGCAAAGAAAGTTGGCATTATCAATTACAAATTATTCACAAAGATTTTTTTATAAAAGTGTTACTTTTATCTCCTTTAAATTAAATAGTTTTAAAAAAATTCAACTTTTCCTATATAAGTAGAAAAGAAAATAAACTATTAAATACCATTCCTCCTTACACAACATTTTTTTTTATCCGGTCCAAAATCAGGTTAGTTAAATGATTTTGCTTTAAAGCGTTTGTAAAATGATAAAAATACCATTTATCGAATACTTTTTTGGTTTCGGTCCCCGCGTAAGCAGGGGAGAGGACAGGGTCACGGCTTTGTGCAGTCAAGGTTATACTGTCTTGGGAACTGACGAATTTTAAAAAAAAATTTTTATAAAAAAATATAAATATTTTAATAATTATCCTAGTAATTTCACAATGAAGCCAATCAAAAATCGGCTTAGTCTTGGCCAATAAAATTCAGCTTAATTCATAATAGAGGTCTGCATTGGGCGGGGCCCATCTAAGTCACCAGTTCCCCAAAAAACATGAATAATTATATATTAAAATAGTAATTTAAAATACTTTGTTTTAAAAAAATAAAATTCCTTATGTTCTGTATGAGAGCTCTTATTTTACTGACTACATTTTTTTTAAAGTTTCAAAGTTCCGCTTTGACATATGTCCAAGGTAAAAGATAGCGATTGGTTATTTTTTTTTCCTTGGCTCAACCGAATTAGAATTTACATTATTTGGGGATTGAAGAGACGTATGTCGAGATCCAAATTAAGGATTTACTTAAAGACCAAAGTATAGAGGTTAAACTATCTGGCCTAATAAAAGCCCTTACGTCAGAACCCAAAGAGAGCCCTTACGTCAGAACCCAAAGAATTTTATTTAAGCTAAATATTCATATTACTCTTTTTTAGAATCCAGTTCATTATTCATGTTGGGGGGGGGGGGGGGAACTTGTAGTCCCAAATTCCGTTTTTATAGGATGAGCTAAAAAAAATTAATTTCGTTATATTACCCGGATAAATATTAGTGTTGCTTAAGAAGCCCGATTCGGGTCGATTTTTTAAAAACGGTCCGATCTGAGTCGGTTTTTAAAAAGGGACCGATTAAGATTTCGGACTAAATAATATTATGTTAGCCTCGAGATTCGGTAAATAGAAGTCCAGTCCTTTCTGCCTTCTATGAGCAAAATCTCCAGGCTTACATAATATTGTATTTTGAACAGCGCATTACCTAAATCATTGTTCTAAGCTGCATATTCACTAATCCCAACAAAAATAATGACCAGTTTCGTTACTTTTATGATTTTTTTTAAAAAAACTAATTAAATAGAGGGGGATTTTTTTATTCATTTGCGGAAGGTGTATATTTTTCATTTTTAAAGATATCTAATACTTTTTTTCAAAGAATTCGATTATCAAATCGAATATTTGACGAATCAAATGGAATAATTGTATTATTCGTTTGAATACGAATAATACAATTATTAGATTGGAAAATACAAATCGAATATGAATGATGCAAATATTAGATTCGATACTTATTTTTGTAAGTATGCTGTGTGCATAGTAAATATATGGACTAGTCCTAGACCACGACAAACTGCTTAGCCCGCATTTAGTTTAGGATAAAATTGAAGGGTTAAAATATACATACTGAAGACAGACATTAATCATTAATTCATTAAAATGCATTTTAAAAAGTGTACATATATTCGAAGTCGGCCATTGAAAGGAATTTAGAAACGAAATGTCAAAAGGCTTTTTAAACTAAATGCTTTTCAATGACGTATACCCAACCCAGGCCAATGATATTGACAAGCACTAACCTCCACTAACGAAGCACTAAAGAATGATATATATTTCATCGTTAGTGTTTTCAATCGACTTTTAAGGGTGAAGTTGGCACAAGTTTTTATTTTTGCTTGTAACTTTTTTTCCTTAAATTCGGCTAATATACGGATTGAAGCACTAACGAGTAACGAAGCACTAACGAGTAACGAAACACTAAAAAATGATATATGATTCATCGTGAGTGCTTCCAATTGTTCGACCAACTTCACGGAGCTTTGACTCACAGCTGACTTCAATGTATGTGCAATGCAAACTTTTAATATATAAATAGTTTATTAAAGGCGAGTAATTAATGTCATTCACTGGGAAGATATGGTTGTGAAAATAATACATCAGGCTTAATAGTTCAACTTTAAACCCAGTTCGTTTGGCCTAAAAATTATTTTACGAATTTCTCCAACCCAGCCTAAAATTATTTTTAGAACGGGCCAGGATCATGCCAAACCGAGATTCGCAGATCACTAAATTAGTATCTTTTAATTTTTTTAAAAAAATATATATTGAAAAATTCTTAATAAAAATACTTGCGGAATCCCGATCCTGACGAGAATTTCATCTTCGCTTTTATTATCGTGATTAGAAGAAAAGAGGCTCATAGAAGGTTTGATAGTTTTAGCGGATGTCGTAAGATCTCCATCGTCTAATCCTGCTATGGCATCTAAAGATATATTATAGAAGTTAGATTATATAAATCCCAAAATATATACAGAGTACATCTAAAGATGAAATAACTATATTTTTTATTACTACGTCCTTTTTGAGAAAAATAAACAATCTACAAAAAATTTCTTTAAATGGTATATTAAGCTTGATTTTTTATTCCCCGTTATTTTACATTCGAAAATTATTTCTTATTTTATATATAAATCAGATGCCCACATGAGCTGGTTTATCAGGGTTGCAATTTAAATCTATCTTTTGAAAACTTGAGTTGGTGGCCTATGTTTTAAATTTTGTATATTTTTTATTAAAAGAAAGTCAAATTTTCCTTAAAAATTTATAAAACAAAAAAAGGAGAGTAACATCTTTAAAAGTAGCATTTAGATAGTGGACAAATAAAAATAGCTAGACTGGGATTGGACCAAAATTTTATATATATTTTAGACTACCAGGGCCAGGTTTAAATTTTAATTTATCAAAGAAAGGATAAAATATTGTGCTACTCAAAATTTAGGTCAAATTAGGGAGTTGGCTAAATTATAAAGAGCCCAAATTAGACAAGTTTTACAGTATAATGAAAATAATTTGCATGATTAAATTTTTTTATATTAGTCAGAATCAGAAGCCCATTATTTCACAAATACAAAAGTATAATTTAGTGATTAAACTACTATGATGACTTACTATATACCAAGGTACAATCTTGTACAGACCTGGAAAAAATGCCTGGAGTGTCTAAATTGTTTGCCAAGGGTATCAAGCCTAATCTTGAAAGGGTGCCATATGTGGGTTTAAACCCTATCACGCCACAATAAGAGGCTGGGTTTCTTATTGAACCTCCAGTATCTGAGCCTATTGAACTTAAAAACGTATTTTTTAAAAAAATATACTTTAGAAGTTAAATTATAAAATTTAATTTACTAAAAGGCTGAGCCTGTCACTACAGATACTGCAGATCCACCTGATGAACCTCCAGATATATGAAAATCATCATTTTCTAACATCTTTTGGTTATCATTTTCTATTAGGTTATTTGGATTTGTATGAAATTTAGCAGTTTTCAGTTGATTAAATGTTATATTATTGTCAAAGATGCTGTTTGAAATATTATTTTTAAGTTGTATATTTTTCTTTTTCATATTCCATGGATTTTTAACAGGTCCATAAAAGCTATTTATGCTGGCATTCCTAAATACATGTGTGTAAACTAAATTGGATATGTTTTTTAAAACTACCCCATTGAAAATTCATCCATGTTTGTTTTCCCCATTAATATTGCTCCAGCATCGCATAATCTTTTATAGATAGTTGCATCATATATTGCTATTAAATTATACAACATTTTTGATGCACATGTAGTTTTAATATCTTTAGTACAAAAATTATCTTTAATAGAAAAAGGAAACCCATTTAAAGGATCATCATGATTTTCTTAATTATATTATAATTTATATTTAATAAGTTATAAAATACTTTTAGAAGATGTTCCTGTATTATTTATAAAATCGTAATTATTACTAGTTATATATGCATTTAATTTATTTGCATAATTTGTTCCATTTAAGCAGAACTTATATATCTCTGAAAAGTTAGTCTGCTTATGTTTCAGTAAATCTAAAACCTAAAAATTTGAATATATATCTTATATATATATTTCTATTCAAAAACTTCCAACAAGGTATAATTCATAAAATTCGCAGACGAAGTTTACGATATTTTGAAATTTAAATATTTAAAAAATTGAAATGGCAATTGTTATACTTTAGTTACTATCAATGACGTATGTCATAGGTGATGCCCATGTTCGTGTAAATAGGGAAGAGTGTTGGACAGTTATTGAATTTCCAAATTTAGACTGGTTCATAGGCGTAGCCAGGATTTTCATAAGGGGGGGGAGGGGGGAAATTAAAAAATTATATACCTTAATATAAAAGCATGGTAATAATTTATTCCAAACAATTATAAGAAATTTATTTATAAAAAGTAAGTAGACATATAGTTGATTTTACTCTATTATATAGAATTAGTTATAAAACACTAGGTAAAATTCCACTTTTACAGACATATTTGACAGTTAAAAAATATATTACAGTTAATAATTTAACAAATTTTACTAATCAATGCTCTTGATATTAAATATAGCAACAATTTGCATTTAATTATTTAACGCCATCTATTTATTTTAGGTAATAATTGTATTTAAATTTAATCTTCATATTATTCATACCACAATGACTTTAAATGATATTTTCTGATGTCCTTATCATTATTTTATAGTTTTCTGTAAAATATATAATTCGCTATATTGGTAAAAATTACTTGATTGTCATTTGATAATTAGATATACTGTAAACCTACGACACATAATATTCCACTGTTTGATTGTGCTTTAATATTTTTTTAATTTATGACTTAATTTTATCAATTTTATCAATAGTTTTATAATTATATTTTACTTTTATTAAGATAAATTTTTCTATTTAAATTATAAAATTAAATTGAATAAAAGAATCTACATGATTTTATAATTAATGGGGATTCAGATATAATTATTGAAATTTTATTTAATTTCACGTATATATTTTATTGGAATAAGAGCATCGCCTCGATAAAATTTTGTTAACTTTCTCTTTGTATTTTTTTTATTATTATAAAATTAAATTGAATCAAATGTTTATATAAAATGAAAAAGTGATTTTTACAATTTCGTTAATATAATAAATATCATCAGTCATTTACATAAAAATTAATACATCTGTTAAAATAAATCACTTTATCAAATAAAATATACATTAAAAAGTGTATACAACATAAATAAATTAAAATTACTCACTTTATAAAAAATTATATTTGATATATTATATTATTTAGTAATTTTATGGATCTATTATTAATAATTATAATACATTTCACTTCTGTCTTAAGACTTATTTTTGACTTATATTCCATTTATTAAAAAACATTTTTGGTTCATTTTACATAATTATAAATTTATTTTTCCAAAAATCTATAAATTATGATGAATAGTTTTATAAAAAAATATCAACTTTTACATTCTTTCTTTTAAATTATTATTTAAGATATATGCATACATATCAGGGAGTGGGGAGAGGACTAAGGGGGATATTTTTTTATTAGATATTTACAAAAGGTTATAAATTTCTGAAGGGGGAAAAAATTTCCCCTTGCCACCCCCCTTCTGGCTACGCCTATGGACTGGTTTATAATAAAAAACTATAAACCGAACAATATTTTGTATGAATGAGCAACCCTGGATTTATACTTTATTATAGTACAAATTAACAGCGCTCTTATATTTTTTAATTTTAATATATCTATTATAATAATCCTCAAAAACCGTCAATCAAATTTAGCCAATAGTGTTCTTTTAAAAAAAATTTATTCAATAAAAATGATTATAGGGTAATCGGTCCAATAGTAATCATGTAACAACCTTAACACTCATTCAATTTTATAACACATTTTACCATCTTCACTTCATAAGGATATTTAAAAGATGTTGTTTAACAACTGATTTGAATAGAGATTTAATTCTGTTTATTCAAATTATATTTTTGAGGCAGAGGCTGGGCGCCCCCCATTTGGGGGTGAATAGAAAATTAATTTTAGGCTGCGTGCCCCCATTTAAGGGTATATTAGAATATTATTGACTAGGTGCCTCCAAATGGAGGTAAATAAAAAATATTAGGCTGCGAGCCCCCAAATGGGGTTAAATAGAAAATATTAGGCTGCTTTCCCCCAAATGAGGGTAAATAAAAAATTTTAGGCTGCTTGCCCTCAAATGGGGGTAAATGAGTTAATTATAGGCTTGGTGTCCCTATTTGGGGATTCCTTTGTATTACCATAAATATTTGGTAAACTTTTCTAAAGTAGAGATTGTCTATATGTTTTTACCTTTTAAGTGATATTAATTCCTTTGTATTTCCATAAATATTGGGTACACTTTTCTTAAGTAGAGATTGTATATTATAAATATAAGAATTAATTTGGATAATATATTGTTTTTACCTTTTAAATGATATTAATTCCTTTGTATTACCATAAATATTTGGTAAACTTATCTAAAGTAGAGATTGTCTGTAATAAATATAAGAAGAGATAATTTATTATATATATATATTTCTAAATTGTTTACCGTTTTATATAATTTATTTGACAAATTGAATCAATTAAAATTTTATATAAATTGGTCAATTTAACGTTTTTTTATGTTTTTTAATTAATGTAAATTTTAAAAATAGCTTTAAATTAAAATAAAATAGGAAACGTTGGATGACGTAGCGTATTTTTGATTCATTCTCATTCACATTCAAAGTTTCTGGTGAAACGAAATAAAATTTGTTATTCTCAATCACAATATAGAATACCAAGATTCAATATTATATTAGAAGTCATTATTATAATGTATCAGTGAAGATGCGTCCATAGAAGCTAGGGAAGCATTGCTTTCCTTGAAATTTTTCTTACAAAATTTTTAAATAAACTTAATATAATCTTTTTACTATGCTAAATAAACTAAACTGACTTTGTTAAAAAAAATTAATATAATTTTTATAACATTAAAAAAATTAATATAATTTTTAACTTAAAAAAATTAATATAATTTTTAACTTAAAAAAATTAATCTAATTTTTAACTTAAAAAAATTAATATAATTTTTAACTTAAAAAAATTAATAAAATTTTTATAACTTAAAAAAATTAATAAAATTTTTATAACTTGAAAAAATTAATAAAATTTTTATAACTTAAAAAAATTAATAAAATTTTTATAACTTGAAAAAATTAATAAAATTTTTATAACTTAAAAAAATTAATATAATTTTTATAACGTTAAAAAGTTAATATTATTTTTAGTATATTAAGAAATACTATTATTTTTACTACGTTAAAAAATATATACATGAGGGAAGCAAATTTAATATTGCCATTTTTTTTTAAATAAATTAAAGAGAAGGAAATTTTTTTATATAATATTTATTTCCTTACTTTTTTTAAATAAAAAATTATTTAATTTTTAAAACCTTAATTAATGTTTAATAATTGTAAATTTATTTTTGAAAAATTATTAACATTATCATTTAGCTCAAGAAATTTTGATGCGAAAAAATTGATTATGGAAAAAGGAAGACCAAAAACCAATTTTACAAAACTTAAAAAAAGAAATCAAAACTTGCATCCGTAATTTTTCCATCTATAAATATGAAAAATATGATTGGCTCACTGGATGTGAAGTTTCTAATTCTTATATTGTTGGTCATGCCTATTATTCCCAAAGGAAAAATATGTTTGGAATGATAAAAGATATTCGGATATGAATAATTTTTCAAAAGCAGTTAAACGGCAAAGAATCAACCGCTTATTTTCAGTCGATGATTCAATTAAAAACATTTGGCCAAGTATTGAAAATATTATAGATTCGATGCGCAAAATATCAATCGAACAGCATAATTCTAAAAGTCAAATCAAATAGAGAAATGTTGAAAATATTGATTAACTCTATATGCTTTCTTATAATTCAGGAGCTCGTATTCCGTGGTGATGATGAATCTTCTAATTCAGTAAATAGAGGAAATTATATTGTATTAATATATTTGCTCGTGGAAGAAAATTTATTATTAAAACATCATTTAGAAATAGTGCAGTTTTTATTGGGCTATCAAGCAATATTCAAAATGATTTGATTACTATTTCATATGTCTTACACCAAAAAATATTAAATTCGTCGAATTATTAAATATTAGTGAATTCCAATAATCAATTTCCCAAAATATTTATTAGATAATTTAAACGACTTATTCTCAATTTTTCGACTTACACAAGCTGGAAACCGAATTAAAGGTAGTGTTTCGGGATGTTGAATTTAGAAAGAAAAGGATTAATGAAATACTTGAATTTTTAATATGCACCGATTTGATGAAAAGTTTTAAAGAGTTTTTTAAATTATGAAAATTCATCTTAACTTTGACTTCAACAACAGCAAGTGCAGAACGGAGTTTTACATCTTTAAAAAAAATCAAATCTTTTTGCAAAAACAGGATGAGCCAAAATCGATTTGATTTCAATTGAAAAAAAATTATTAAAAAATTTAAAATCTATAACTTTTATAATTCAGTACTTGATCATTTTACTCAAAAAAAAAGATGAATACCACTTATTTATAAATGTTTTTATGGTTTGAGTTTGACTAAAATAAAAAAAAATTTTAGATTGCTTCCCTAAGTAAACTTGACGCTTCGTCACTGTAATGTATATTTATTTTTTTAGATCAAACATTAACATCGGTGGCGGGTATGCCATGTAAACACTAATTGAAGTCCTATGAAGAATATTCAAAGTTATGGAATTATTTTCAAGAAGCTTTACACTTATCAGAAGATCCTCAAGATAATATATTTTGTTAATTATGTACTTCCAGCTTATACAATTTATAATTATAACATGAATTTTCTTATCTTATATATATTTGAATCATGGTCAGTACATAGAGAGTTACACCTAAAGAAAGGTTTTGGTACCTGTGCAACCCTAATTATGGACATGTTTTTAGAACTGTAATGATATTCATCTATAAATCCCTTTTAAGGAAGTATCCGTTTTTATATAATATTGTTTTATTTTATTTTATATTTGATATGTTAATTTTAATATTAATTTTATTTCTATGTATATTTTTAATTTAAAAATCAATGACATTAGTATTAAAAAAAAACTATTTTATATTTTTACCTTTTAATATTTTACATTTGTCTGTCAATTTTAAAATTAACTCAGAATATTTAGTAATATCATCAATATTTTATTTTAACCATATATATTGTTTGACATATAGTAGATCCTTATTTTCCAGCACCTTTTAATGTTACGATCTGAGTTATTGTAATATATTTATAGTATGGTTTAAGAGAAAATTGACAGATATCCCAAGAGAAATTGCAGAGATTATTAGCAGTGTAATATTTTGAAGAATAAAATAAAGAATTAAATAATTTTGTAAAAATTGTCCACCTACTAATACTTCAATTACCATTAAATAATTCAATCTATTATAATATAGTGTTGTATATTTTCTCATAACTTCATAATTGTAGAATGTATGTTATTCATAACTTATTATATTATTTTTGATGAAATGTATAACATTTTTGTTTTACTAATATATAATTTGACTATGATTGTAGTTAACCTCCTATTATTTGATAACCTAAAATATCTTTTTATTTTTTCTATTGTAATTTAATCTTAAATTTAATTTTATAATTTGTAACTAAATAATAAATCATTTGGAAAGGGGTGGTTTGTTTAAAATTTAAATTAGGATGAACATATTTTCAGCATGGTACTTTAATGTATATTCATAATTTCATATAATGATAGGTAAACCAGATATTTCCCCTTCATTTGATGATAATTTTGAAAAATTTTCACAATTAATATATACATATATTAGACAGATTTAATTCTTATAAACCTCTTATATTTTTCAAGATCCAAGGAAGAAATTAATTATTCTGAGTTTGGGCTTGGGAAATATTTTAACAATTAATTTGGATTTGGACCTAGCTTGCTAAACATTTTTCAAAAAATTTTTTAATTTTAAATATGGGCTAGAAATTGGCCTGAAAATTTCTTTTGAAGACATGGCCAGGCCTGATCAAAAACCAAAGCCCATGCAACTTTCATATTCTGATTGTATTTTTAAATGCATTGTGACTTTTTATATATTATATTTCAGTTCTCAACTACCAAAATTATTATGGTCTTTGGCAGGTTTGAGAAAATTTTCCCAAGTGCGTGGACCTGGCTTGGGAGTTTTTTTAATATTAGGCATAGCTGTAATATTTAACAAGAATATTTATATGGCCCTCAGGTAAAATCTAATTTAAATATTATTTTTATTCAAAAAAATAGTATTCACACTTAGTCTAAATGGGTTGGCCTTGGTCTGAAGTAGGGGTGAGCTGGGTTAAGATAGAATAAAAAATAGATATGGTTTTTAGAGATTTACCTATCTCCAGGTTTGGAAAAAAATTTTGAAAATTACTATGGGTTGGCCAGACTTGAGAAAAATTTTTATAAAATTATTATGAGTTGAACTGGGCTTGGAAAATATTTTTATAAATTATGTTGGGCTGGGCTTGGGGAAAATTATGAGCTTGGACGTTTGATAATTTTTTTTATTATTAACTATGGGTCAGACATTGGCCTAAAACAAGTTATTTTGCAGGCCTGGGCTCGGCCTGATAAAAAAACCAAGGCCCATGAAAATCTGATTTTTTTGTATTTTTTAAATTCATTATGATTATTTAAATGTTTTATTTCAGTTCTCAACTACCAAAATTATTATGATCTTTCATTCAGCTTGGATGAATTTTTCAAAATTATTATGACTTTGTACTTTACCTGAGAATTTTTTTAATATTAAATATTATGTATAAATGATCACTAAATTCATATTGGTATTATCAAGTAAAAGCTTTAAATTTATTCTTACTCAAACCATAGTATTTAATCTTAGTTTTAATGGATTGAACCTGACCTGAAGAGGGGAGGGAGTAAAAAGAATAAAATTGGATATAATTTTCAAATAACAGGTAACACATTTAGCATAAATATAAGAAGAAAATTCTCATTGCCCGTCATTTTTGACGGGCTATCTCCTAGTTATTTTATATTTGTCATTTTTTAAATTGTTTAAATGTATTTTTTACCTCCTATTTTAAGATATTATTTAATTTTCAGGATTATTTATAACATTTCAAGTTTTGAACTTTTCAGGGAAATTTTGAAATAGGAGGGGAATTTCCCTTTCATGTTTATTGATGGAAAATAATGTATTCTTCTATGAATAGTATCAAATAAGTTAGGATTATTTAGATAAAAACTGGATGGAGTTTACGTTTCAACTGGGAAAATGCGTTATTCTCATAAACACGTGATTTGGGGGATAAACAAACTATTTTACCTTAGGATTTTTATGAGATTACCGTACATACATAGACATATTTTTTTCTCGTAACAGAGATATAGAAAAAAAAACTAAAATCTATATTAAGTCCCAATTTTTATATTATTGTATCTAAAATTTTAAAAAAAAATCGTATCCGATACAAAATTCGCCGCAAAGAATACAACACGTTTTGAATCCGGTTTAATTATCAATGCAGGGTTACACTATACTAGACATTGTCTACTCTACAAGCTCATATTAAGTGATAATGATTTGCTATTTCGAATCGACACTTCAGCCTCGATAACCAGAAAAACTAATATGACATATAATTTAATAGCGAAAACGGAAATGGCCATAAAATGAAAAACATTTGCTTATAATTTTTTTTTCTTTCAATTATTTTTTTATCACTCGACCAACTTTTCAATGTCTTGCGAACAACATTATTATTTTATTTATAAAATCTACATTAATTAGTTTTTACTAAGCTTTTTCTTGATTTATTTTTTTGGCTTTGATTCACGGATTTTGATGTGAGGGAATATTTAATTTATAGGGAGATATACGAATATTGAATAAGGATTTGGTGATGTAATACTATATCTTTAGCCCTCTTATACAATTGATGGGCATCAGTTTTTAAATATTCTTTCATTTATTTTAAAATTTTACTGATTCAAATCTAGATAGTCATCATGTCTCCTCATTTCAGCTGTTTTCAAAATAGTTTCATATAAATTTGGATGTGGAAGAATGATTTTTACTTTACTAAAACGTTTTTACTAATCTAATAAGATTATCATTTTCGATAAATATAAATTATTTTAAACTTCTATTCGATCTCTGAGAATTAGATATTGCAAATATGTATTATCTAACTTTATCGGGTAATATTTTAGTTCATAATTTAGGTAATATCGGTATATTTTAAGTATATCTTACTATATTATTAATCACAGCTGATAGATGGAATATGAAATTAAAAATTGAGAAAAGTTAATTTTTTAAAATTGAAAAAAATCGTATAATGAATAGAGCTCAACATAGCCACAAAACAAGTGGCTTACTTGACAGCATATAGGTATAGTTTTATTGACTCCGGGGTTCTCTGGTTAGAAAATTGTCATTAACGATAAAGGTATAAGTCATATTTATTCTTAAAAATTTTAAACTTGCTAACTAGCTACATGAATAAATTGAAATGCTATTCAGGTCCGCGAACTGTGGAGAGAATCTTAAAATTTTGGAGATTCTATGGCCCGGCCCACATTTTTTTCGATCTCGGCATCTTAAGCAATTTTAGCTTAAAGTTTGAAATGCTCTTTTAAAATAAATTTTCAAACAAAGTTTCATTTTTTGAGAATGCTCGAACATGATTTATGATCAAATTTTACCATAAAATTCCAAATCGTTTTTTTAAAAAAAAAATATTAAATGATTTGAAATTAATTACAAATTTTCATCTTTTCCTAACCTAAAACTTTTGGTCAAAAAATTAATAATTGAAATTTTTTGTTTGACAAACCTCGATTTTGATTCTATTTTATGAATTATTTTTAAGATTATTTCTAGAAATATTTAGCCCGATATAGGTTTTCTAATTTTGTATAAAAATGATTAGGCCCACTCCGAGCAGGCTTCCTAACCTGCAGGTCTAAATTATGTAAGACAATAATTATTTTATTTGGCAAGTAAGCTCACCAACGATCTCATTTAAAGGTGAATCTGAATATAAATTAAACTAGCGTGCGATAAATGAATTATAAGGTCATCATTATTATATGTATATTATGATTAAAATTAAGATTTAACTAATTAACAATTAACTCTTAGTCTTCGAGGAAGCTTCAAAAATATCTTTGTAGCGTTATTGGGATCTTTTAATCTTTTACTGTTATGAACATCCGAAAAAAAAGGAAAAAAAATCCAATCAAAAAGAAATGGGTCTAAACAAAAAAAGAAATAAATAAAATATTAAAAGTTTAAAGCTAAAAGAAAAAGTCATAATCAAATATATTTCCATAGACCCTTCTTTCTTATTCATACACATCTCCTGCTCCATTCTCTCCACCTTCGGAGCAAAAATCAATGTTTTTTTTAAAGAGTTAGGCAAAAGGATTTGTGAAAAAGCCGACCAGCCTAAGGAATCCCTTTCTTACAATAAAGACTTGCTACCGCCATTATTCGATCTAACTATCTAAGTCTTATCTCTTCCATAGAATAATCTACCACATCTATGCTTTCTTTCTTCCCTTCTCTTTCTTAGTTTTCATTTTTTTTTATCCCTTATCCCTTATCCTATTTCGTAATTTCTATTTTTACATTGAAAAAATTAAATATGCTATTATCTTTTGATAACATATTATATCAGTCACTATTCAAATAAAGTAACCAATGACCAAAAATATATAATCATTTATGATTGGAAATCGCATACAAGTTTTTGATATAATTTATTTTATTTTTTTTTAAAAAAAAAATGGTAAACGAATCGTTAAAGAAAATTATGCAAAAATTTATAAAATAGTATAAATAAATTCATAAACATTTTAGGGAAAACAAAATAATTAAGTAATGATAATAATCAAATAAATAATAAAAGTCACATTATTTTAAATTTATAACTTTAATAAATAAATGGGTTTTCTCTCTATTTTCTATCCCATAGCTGTAATTAATACTTCGCTGGCGGAAGGATCGGAACTTCTTACGAGCATGTTGATTGTCACACCAGTCTCCGGCATGGCTACAATTTTTATCCTAGCTAATATATCGTGATTGCCTCTGTATATGCCTATTTTGCAATAAGGAAAAGGAAAGGTTATAAAAGTGATTTCTAAACAACCCTAGTTAATTTACCAAAGTTGTTTTAAAAAAATATCATTCAAATGTACAGATTACATGACATAAAAAGGTATCTAGATAGATACTGTAACTTTAACAATTATATTATGTATCTTAATAGAAAATTTTATAAACATCAGAGACTTGCTCGAGGTACAACACGGCTCGGCCCAGATTCGTGAAAAAAAATTTCGGCCTGGCCTGGATTATTTCTTAAAAGTCATTTAGACCTGAATGTTTACAAAAATCTTACTATTAGGTATTTTAATGAAATTATTTATAACTTTTTTTAAAAGTGCCAAATTTTTATGATAAGTAATAGTATATTATGTTATATATATAATCGCGATTTAAAATATTAGGCCAGGCCCGGGTATTTGAAAAATTTTTTAAAAAAAGGACCCGGACTCCAAAAAAAATTTGCCAAATATAATGATGATTTTTAAATTATTCATATTAACAACCCGATAGGTAGAGAGTGTGAAGATTTTTGGATTCGGATACTTTGTCGGAACTATCGCAAGGTGACATGCCCAAGTACTGAATGAGCTTGATGATAGCATCTTGATGTTTATTTTATTTTTTTAAATTGTAAACATTTTAAAATCCTATATCCCTATCACCAATATTTATATAAAAAAAAGTTTATGATATCTTCAGAGCTAAAACAAAATAATCATAAGTATTGAGATGTACACTGTCTACAGGAGTATTAGTATAAATGAATACCATGTAAGGTTTTAACGTTGGATAGCACGAAACTATCTTCGAGTTCATTTTCCGGTCCCAATTCTTCCCATGACACGGAAAAGTTATGCTTGGTAATAGCCTTCATACTGTCACACACATTAAGTTCTATATCTTCCAACTTTTAATTAAGTAATTTATTTTTTTTTACAAAAAAAAATTTAGAAATAATTTGAAAATAATAAATTGAATCTCTTTCATTGATCTATTGAAACCACTTTAATATTTTATATAATTCAAACATTCGTAGAACCACTAAATTACCGAGTTCAAAAATAGCTAAAACATCTAAAAATATCCTCAAAAAATGGCGGCTGATATGGTTCCCACACGAAATGGCCGAAGTAACCAAATATTTTTATACGTAATTTCTAATTTATAACATCACAAGTAATATAATAAAATTCTAATATAATACGATACTAATATAATATAAAATATAATAATAATTTTGTTTAATCAAGCGTCTTCGAAAATATTTGCAATGTAGTGGTTGGTGGTATTTATTGAGTTTTACTTATTACTCCTACAAATAGTGAAGGTCAACGGTTATGTCCTATCGGTCTTAGACCGTGACCAGACTGATTTCCTGACCGATCTTTTTTTGTGGGCCGTGGTCCGGACTGGTCTTTTTATTTTTACGGTCTAGACCGCGACCCGGACCGGTCTTTCATAATTATTTAAGTTTGCTTTACTATTCAATTAATATAATTTTTTTGTATATTTTATTTTATGATATTTTTCTAGAGGTGTGATTTTAGATTTTGTTAATTTTTATTTTACAATATGAAAACCATAAGTTTGTCCAAGAAACATTTTACTTATAGTCCCAATAAAAAACATAGAGTATGTGTTCACTGCAGTACCAAATTTAATGTATCGTCAGCAACAAGTAACAAAATAATTGTTTATAATTTTTTAAGCAATAAATTAATCAAAATAAGCAGTATTATTTAATATATTTTGGTTATTATCTATATAGTTCTATTTTTTCTTAAGAAACTGTTTGAATAATTCATTGTCAAAATAACTTAACCTTATTCTTAATAAAATAATTAAGTACCTTAAGCAGACATCTGATAAAACATAAAATATATAATTCTAATGAAAATGAAAATATCTCAAAAACACAATCTACTCTTAATTTTAATATGCCCTTCACAAGCACAAATTTTAATATTATTGAATAAATTTTGTTGTTTATATAATACTCTTATATTTAATAAAATGATAAAACAAATCAAATTAGGTTAAAAAAATATGTTCTTATTTAAGAGCACGGTCTGGGTCGATCTTTTTTAAGGACCGGGGTCCGGTCCGGGAGTATCGGTCTAGTTCGGGCCAAAGACCGGGCCGTGATTTTCACTACCTATAAATAATATCTTAATATTATTTTTTTAAAGGTTTCTAATGATTAATAAAGAATATGTTAATAACTTGTCTTACTAAACTTCTTGAATATATTTTTTTAAGTTTCATATTCTAATTACATTTTAATATGCAATTTAGAAAAATATAAAAAAAGTTAATATTTATTATATTATATAAATAAATATAATTTAAAAAAAACAAAAATAATAATGTATAATTTAAAATTTACGTATTAGTGTTATAATTTAATCAGAATAACGCGACAATATATATTAGATGATTGAAAATTAACTAAAAAATGAGATTTTATCTAAAAATGGAAACAAATTTAAAGTTGTTCTATCGTACATGGACATTAAATTGTCTATTTTATGATTTAACCTTTCATAAGTCGGATTTGTTCGCCGAACAATCGATTCATTGTATAAGCTTATTATCGTTCGAATTTTGAACAATATTTTGACAATGACGTACACGTTAAGAAGTGCACAGCTTTGTTATTCGTTTTAGCTCAAGATGGAACCCCTCAAGGTAGTTGTTAGTGCGGAGTCCATTTACATGATATCTGCTGTATATGTTGATTTGTAATTGACAGATAAGAAGGACGTTTTTCAATATACTTTTCGAGAAGAGATTATACTACAATTATTAATCTTTGTTTTAAGATTTGTATCACGTGAGATTATGTATATTATTGTGAATTATATGGAAAATAAAATTACGGAAACGAAATAGTAGTTTAGAATTATATGTTAAACAATATACTTATATATATACATATATTAAGATCTATATGATGAAATATAATCATTTTGAGTTTTAATACCTTGTCCCATATAGTAGGGGTGGGGGGAATAACGCAGTATCACCAAGCCACGTTTGGTTCATATACTCCCTAAAACGAAGTGGGGATGGATTGTTAGTTGCCATTGAGTAGCAAGATAAACTAACTTCGGCCATATGCTCCACCTTGCAAACTGGTAAAGTTGTCATCCGCCTTACAACTAAATGGACGAATCGTTTAGATAGTCTCTGACTAAACCCAAAGCTTGACATTTCCGCCATAAAGCTTGAGAATAATGAAAGAAACATCCTAAATATTTTAAATTAAAATTTAGTACATCTTAAATTAACCTTTGATCACTGTATTTGGGAATACAAATCGAAGAGCAGATATAGCTGCCGCCTCAAAATCTGTTTGGCCAATTGGAGGATTGAAATAAATACCTTCACGGGTACAAAAATTTTTGACTATATGAAATAGTTGAATATATGTCTCCCTTGATTTATCTGGAAGGAGAGCATATAACTGGGATCATAACGTTTTCATACATAACGTGTATGCTATATAAAGCTGACAATATAATCTAGGAACTATGTAGAAAGTTCCATCCATATAAATTGTGGTAGCAGATCCCAACAACTTTAACATATCACTAGTCCCAAAGACCAATATCTTATTATCATCGGTAGGAATATAGAATCTTTGAGATCTTGAAGATGTAGCATATGCTGGCGTTAAAACAATATATTGAATAGAATGAGGCATGGAAGGCCTATATTTCTTAAGAATTCTGTCGATAAGGCCCCTAATTAATATGAAAAGGGGGATTGCCTCAGAATAATTTTCGATATAATTTGTCTCTAAACATCTTATATCAATAGTTTTTTGATATATGTTCATCCTCGTTTGGGTAAGATTTTGGGCAATAGTTCTTTCAAAAACTTCCCGTTTTGAGGAGCTCAAAATACCCGACATCAGGTTGGTGTTCATGTACACCTGATGAAATGTAAATATGGTCATATTTACATTTAGCAGGACAGCCTGGTTTCCTGCAACGGTAATGAACAATATCCCCCCTTTCATAGTGATACCGATTGAGATAATCTTGGTAAAAGAGGAATGGTTTTCCCTTTTTACTATTGAAAAATTGACCTTTAATAATATATATATTATATTATGTTTTTACCATAAATGTTTTGATTTATGTCAAGCATAGAATATGCAGCATCCATTATTTTTAAATCATATATAGCTAATTTCTTTGAAGATCTTTTTGAAAGCGTTTTTGAGGATGTTTTTCGATGTTTTGACAATTTTGAACTCGGTGATTTAATAGTTATACGGCAAATATGAATTTACAAGATTATTCCAGTAAAAATATTCAATTTAAGGTAAATAGACTTTATTATTATCTTGTATATTTTTATTAGAAAACACAAAAACACAATGATGAAATTGCCTATTTGGGGTTATGAATATTTGAACAAGGGAGATGGTCAAAATTTTATATACCTAAAATGCAGAAGTAACAATGGGGGCAGAGCAAAGCTCTCTCTAGCAGATGTTGTTATAACAAAACAACATATTTACACTTGTAAATGCAAGAATATATATTCTCCAATGCAATATTAGAAATAATGGATGCTGCATATGCTATGCTTGACATAAATCAAAACATTTATGGTAAAAACATAATATAATATATTAATATCATTAAAGGTCAATTTGTCAATGGTAAAAAAGGAAAACCATTCCTCTTTTACCAAGATTATCTCTATCGGTTTCACTATGAAAGGAGGGATGTTGTTCATTACCGTTGCAGGAAACCAGGCTGTTCTGCAAAATGTAAATATGACCATATTTACATTTCATCAGGTGTACATGAACACCAACCTGATGTCGGGTATTTTGAGCTTCTCAAAACAAAAGAGGTTCTTGAAAGAACAATTGCCCAAGATCCTACCGAAACAAGGATGAATATTTATCAAAAAACTATCGATATTAGATGTTTAGAGACTACTCACATCAAAAATTATCCAGAGGCAATCCCCCCTTTCATATCAATTAGGGGTCATATTGACAGACTTCTAAAGAAATATAGGCCTTTCATGCCTCATTCTATTCAAGATATTGTTTTAACGCCAGCATATGCTACATCTTCAAGATCTCAAGGATTCCATATTCCTACCGATGATAAGATATTGGTCTTTGGGACTACGGATATGTTAAAATTGTTGGGAGCTGCTACGACAATATATATGGACGGAACTTTCTACATAGTTCCTAGATTATATTGTCAGCTTTATAGCATACACGTTATGTATGAAAACGTTATGATCCCAGTTATATATGCTCTCCTTCCAGATAAATCAAGGGAGACATATATTCAACTATTTCATATAGTCAAAAAATTTTGTACCCGTGAAGGTATTTATTTCAATCCTCCAATTGGCCAAACAGATTTTGAGGCGGCAGCTATATCTGCTCTTCGATTTGTATTCCCAAATACAGTGATCAAAGGTTAATTTATGATTAATAAATTTTAATTAAAAATATTTAGGATGTTTCTTTCATTATTCTCAAGCTTTATGGCGGGAATGTCAAGCTTTGGGTTTAGTTAGAGATTATCTAAACGATTCTTATGTCCATTTAGTTGTTAGGCGGATGACAACTTTACCATTTTGCAAGGAGGAGCATATGGCCGAGGTTCGTTTATCTTGCTACTCAATAGCAACTAAATATCCATCCCTACTTCGTTTTATGGAGTATATGGACCATACGTGGCTTGGTGAAACTGCCTTATTCCCTCAAACTATAAGGACAAGGTACAAAAACTTAAAATATTTGTATTCAATCATTCTAATATTTTTCAATATTTATTTTAGGTACCATGTAGATGGGCCCCGCACAAACAACCACCTCGAGGGGTTCCATCATGCTCTTAAAAGAAAAACAAGAAGTGCACATCCTAATGTGTACGTTTTAATTAAAATATTGATCGAAAATCAGAATTCGAACGATATTAAACTGATACAAATTCATAATGGATCGATTGTTAGGCGGGCAAATCGGACTTACGAAAGATTAAATTATAAAATAGACAATTTAACGTCTATGTACGATAGAGCACCCTTAAATTTGTTACCTTTTTTTTAGATAAAATCTCATTTTCAGTTAATTTTCAATCATCTATTCTGATTAAATTATAGGTAAATATTTAATTGTAGATTATTCTATTGTTATTTTATTTTATATTTATTTATAATATATTAAATATTACTACCTTTTTTTTATATGTTTCTTAAATTTGCATATTAAAATGTAATTAGAATATGAAGCCTTAAAAATATTCTGAAAAGGTTAAACAAACGCTAAAATAATTACTATAAAAAAATTTATTCAAGAAGTTTTCTAGCAAGACAAGTGACTAGCATATCTTTACTTATCATTAGAACCCTTTAAAACTAATAAAATATTAGGAAATCAGATATTTATAGGAGTAATAAATAAAACTCAATAAAGACCACCATCCACTACATTGCAAAATTCTTGACGACGCCTGATTAAACAAAATTTTAATTAAAATTGTATTTTATTATTATATTACTTGTGGCGTTATAAATTACGTAAATATTTGGCTATTTTGATCTTGGCGATTTGATAGTTATACGGCAAATATGGATTTACAAGATTATTCCAGTAAACCAAATATTCAATTAAAGGTAAATAGGCATTATTATTACCTTGTATATTTTTATTAGAAACACACAAAAACACGATGATGTAATTGCCTATTTGGGGTTATGAATATTTGAACAAGGGAAATGGTCAAAATTATATTATTTACCTAAAATGCAGAGGTAACTATGGGGGCAGAGCAAAGCTCTCTCTGGCAAATTTTGTTATTACAAAACAACATATTAACACTTGTAAATGCAAGACATTCTTATTCATATCATTAACAATAAAACAACAAGATACTTGTTCAAATTTATATCTGAATTGATAAATTTATAAAAAATACAAATAATTTACAGTATATTCATCTTCGTAGGCGGTTTCAGATATTTCACCAGTGCTGGCGTCGTACTCCTTCACTTTGAATTTCATGATGTTATTGAAAGTACAGGTCACTATAACGGGAAAAGAAAAAAAAAATAATAAAAATAATCGTAGCGACTACTGGTAAATAATAAAATTTTACCTAAAGATATGATAGGTGCAGCAACATAGAAAATATGATTATTGATGATAATAGTTACAAAAAAAATGTATTTCTTCCTTTCTATCTTTCTCTCTTTCTTTATGTATTCTGAATTAACTTCATAGTACGCGAACTTTAATAAAAACGGTTTCTAAAAATGATGGCGAAATTAAATCAATTTCCCATGATTATCGTATATTATTACCTTAAATAGGAAGTTAAAAAAAATGAAATCATGTTAATATACTTAGTAGATCTCTGCATTGAGAGGGTTTTTAACTCACCCTCCCCCCCCCCCCGCCCATCTAGGTGGTCAAGAGAGTTAAAATTTTTACAGAATGGGCCGATAGGTTAAGAAATATATTTAAACTATGGTAGGCTAGCGGGCGGGTTAGAAAAATATGCTCCCAATTTCAACATTCATTTTTAATACCAAAATACAGATAACTGAGGATATTGTCGCTGGAGGAAATTGATTAGGTAAAAAAAAAATATATCGAAAACATGTTGAATTTGATTGGCATGGATGAAAACCTGATTTTACCCGTTTCCTCAAAAGCAATGAGAATTTAATTAAAGATTATTAAAATGTGCGATGTTTGAAATAGACAGCATCCACGTCAAATTTAAGCAACAACAGATGGGTAGATGTGGCCGTTACAGAGGAGAGCATTACCTAATGACATAACAAATAATTTAAATCTTAGAACGAGTTTTTTATATAATAGCAAGATTTTAGGCTATTAGTTTGGTTTAAGTATACAATTTATAAATTTTTCTTTTTAGCTTTCACCTTTTCTGGAGGTAGGCTCCTTCAATATCTCTCTCCACTTTATGTAATTCATGCTATCTCTTTTATCTAATTTATACTTCTTCATATTGGCTCTAACTTTATGGCCCCATGGATTTTACGTTTACCCATCACTTCCAAACTCTCAACAACCTTATTTTATAAATAGTCCATAGGCCTTCTCATTGTTAGCCCATACCACCTAAGTCTGTTTACCATTATCTTAGTCTTAATGGACACTACCTTTAAACTTCCTAGTAATCTTGTACTTCGTACCTTATCCTCCTCATTCTCATCTCCATAGTTTGTAGATTTCAATTTATAAATAATTAATTCAAATTACTTCTTTTTTAAAAAATTTATTATTAATTGTTTCACTTTTTATTTAAATATCTCACTTGCGTAGAGGATATACTTCATATTCTACTTTGATGGAAAAGACAAGGAAAGGATTTATCAAAGAAAACAATAAAGATAATAAGATTTTTCTACCACTAGGCACCTTTTTTTCCCAGTTGGAGTAATTCTTTAAAACTAAAAGGTATATATAAATACACTTATACCTAAGATCTCTTCTTTGGGCATTCTCACGCAGGAATATGATGTTTCTAATCCTTCGCGTTCTTCAGCTTCGGCGATATCCCCTACGACTTTATGTCCAACCTTCCCGCTGTAAGGAGTTTTGAGGGTATCAGAAAACCCGGCTGGCAAAATTTTTTTGGCGGGTATTCGTTTTATAACTTCGAACTGCTCTTGCCCAGGAACCATTTCTATGGAAGCGGATTCGAGAACTTGGTCCGTTAAGGTGTTGTTTATATCGAACTGCCAAAAAAATAACGTAATGAGGTATAAGTTAACTATAGATTAAATGCAGCCAGGCAACCGGTGACACGAAATATACTAGCACTGACAATCGTAATAAGGGTTAATAATGCAATTTAAAACAGGGACTAAATTGAAAAGTCAGCTGTTCGTCATTTAAATTACGTTTAATAATGTATAATTAATGGGATTATTTTTTTTAATATTAAACTCTCGACTTCATTCCTCATATTCCTTGCTTTATGTGTCAAAATATTTATATAAATATTTTATATTTTTAAATAATCCCTACAAATAAAAACAATGTAACTCCACTAAGGATGTAATATAAAAAAAACAACGCTTGTTTTTTATTGGGTTTAATCGGCACAAGATTAGCAGTATTTTAAAATATTTTAAGTGGTGGATCAATAAAAATCCCGAAAATTTTTGATCGAGTTGTTTTTATACAATTTAATTTCGTCATTTCTTATTAAACAAATATTTGTATGTTTATTTTGTATTTTCTCATTTTTTGGCCGTTTCCCTTCTAATCGTTATGCTCCATTTTACAAGGTCATGGGCATTGCTCCAGGTCTCAAACCTAATTTTCTCATGTCATTCACAGCTATTTAATCCAGCCTGTCTTTGGTCGCCCTCTAAGTCTTGTTTTCCCCACTTCCAACCAACGAACAATCATCCTTTGCTTTCCGTTCATCATGTCCAAACTATCTCAGTCTATTTATTATCGAGATATCACCCATTGATTCTATCCCAATCCTTTTTCTCAGTTCATGGCTTGTTTTTCCTTCTCGTAGAGATATTACACTTATCCATATAATCATTCTCATCTCCGTTGTTTGTGACTTGCCTTCGAGAGTAGTCTTAATTTCCTATGCCTCGCTGTCGTTCATCATACAACTCCTTTCACAGCTTGCATAAACATTTCCCTTCAGAACGTTAAAATTGATGCCAAGCTTATCCTCGCCCCTACTGTCAGGTCCACGCCTCCATCAACACTATAAATATTACCTAGGTAACATAACTTATTTACTTTTTCTAGACTTATTCCATTTCCAATGTGAAAACAAGTCATATTACAACATCTTTCGAAGACTTCCAATATAGACACAAGAATTATAATAAGGCCTAATTTAGAATAATTTTGCTTTATAACAAGTTTTAATGTTATTTCGAAATTCCAAGATGTTTGGGCATAAAAAAAATTAGCTGCCAATCTGGTGCCAATTCTAACATTAACATTCAAAATAAGGTATTTTATATGGGTAAAAATATTGGTACAGCCCTATAATTAAGAGTATAATATATAAGTAAAATATTTTTAAAAAAACCTGAAAAACGACGTAATGGGTAAACATATGTTTGGTACATTTAACTACGTATTCCGTCTCTTCTTCCGTCAAATACACGGGCTGGCAGGATTTGAATAACGGGCCCAGTGTTGAAAATGCTGCTATTTTGGATAGTTGTTCTTGATATGGAAATGTAATTTTAAAATTCTAATTTCTGTTATTCGAGAAAAATATTTAGGGAGGCCAGGAAAAACATTTCCGGGTTAGGTCAGACATATTGTAAAAAAAATATGTTTTTTTCACCCCATAGTTCTGAAAATGCTTTTAAAGGATAATTAGGGAATTTATGACGGTTTTCTTCATAAAAAAAAATTATTGGCCAGACTGGACAACTTGTAAATGATAATAATGGTCCATGATTGGCCAAAATTTTCCAAAAAGTTCTATGGGGCGTTTTGGGCCAGGCCGACTTCTAATGCAAACTAAGACCAAGGTTTGGAGTGAGGGTCTTAGACCATATTTAGCATATCGTATAAATGTCTTTCAATGGCGGATTTCAATGTATGTAAGCTTTTTAATGATCATTTATTCAAAAGGTTTTTTTTGGAGGGATAATGGGGGAGGAAGAGGGGGGGGTGGTAGTTCCACAGTCTAAATTTTAAGCGTGGCCAATCCGAGTTAAAAATAATTAATTTTGAAAACATAATAAAAAGAACATTTTTTTTACCCATATATAAACTTTCTCGTGATACGGCATCCTCTTTCGCGCTTGATCGACCAGTTCCAAAGGCTTAGAAATATTGATAATAATTTTTTTTTTTTTAAAAGTTGCTTTAAAAAATATATTGTGAATTCCATATCAAATCAACAAAAAAAAGGCGATTTTCAACCCGACCCCCTTCAATTTTTCTTTAATTTTGTATACTGGTAGTATATATTATGACTAAGAAAAAAAATGAAATTTTACCTTACAACACTGTTTACCCTCTAAGAAATGGCCGTTTAAAACGGGGAAAAATGGTAATTTTTTGACAAAATGCACCTCATTTACTTTCAAATATCTCGAGAAATAATTATGGTAGAAAAATAATTTAAATTTTATTTTGTAGCTTAATAAAAGTTCTTTAAAATGACATAAAAATAAATATGATGGACATTTTATTAATATCGACAACCGGATGTGTAAAACCGGAAATGCCCATAGAAAAAAAGGTATTTTTTTCAAAATTTTTTTTCTGTAGATAGATATCACACTGCTTTATATTTGTACAAAATCCTAGACTGGGATGAACATGGGTTTATGAGTTATCACTTTTTATATAGCTAAAATTGAACAAATTTAACATTAATATCATCATATTTTAAAATGAATAGTTATGAAAATGTTAATTTAAAAATTATGTCTAAATGATAGGCCCTTACATTTTTTTTTCTTTATAAAAAAAAATTGAGAGGTGGCTGGGATGCTTTGGTTAAATTTTATCTCGAAATTAAAACCCCTTGACAAAATAATTTTAAATATTTTATTTAGCATAAAATAATCTACCAAAATTGAAATTCAACAATAAATTTTCCCCCATATATTCAAAATTAAAATAAAGGCTTAATATATTATTTGACGAGAATTCTATAAATTATAAAACATTCAAAAAATGGATAGCAGTTGATCAACTAACCTCGAAACACTGACAAAATTCGCTGACGAATTTGTAGATTATATAATTGAATAATTAAACAATTTAATTCCTCATTTGTTTATAGCTTCACGATAATTATTAATTCGAAACTATTTGAAATTCAATTTAAATTTTGGCGAATTCTTAGTTATTGCAGACTTTTCAGAAAACTATGCATTTGTAGTGCAGAACCATGCACAAGGATTTAATCAGACAAATAATCAAGCTACTATCAACTCTTTTATAATTTATTATCGTGAGAACTAATAAAACATGTAAATTTATTGGTTATATCAGATTGTTTAAAGCACAACGCATGTGCATTTTATTTATTTTAAAAATTGATCGTATTCTTGAAGGAAAGATTTAATAGAGTGGCTAAAATTTATTATTTTTCTGATGGAGCAGTAACCAATATAAAAATAAAAGGTTTCATTTATCTCTACAATCACGAAAATGATTTTGAGATAAAGGCTGAGTGACATTTTTTGAAACCGCACAAGGTAAAAGTCCATGCTACATTTTGGGGGCCGTTACTAAACGGTTAGCAGCTCGAGCAAGCTTGCAACGTCCATATGAACATCACATATTGACAACAGTAGATTTATTTAACTATGCAAGAAATAATATCTATGGGGTAAATTATATATTTGTGAGCAATAATGAATATACGAACATAGAAAGTCATCTTGAAATCAGATTTTTGAAAGCAAAGAGAATTTCAACACAAAGTTCGAAGCTTTTTTTCCTCTAGACGAAAACAAAAGTTATAATTTATTAAAATTCCATGTATTATTATAATATATGATATATTTTAATTATAAATTTTTGATTGTATTATATGTAATGCAATTTGAGGCAAATAAAGTTATAAATATGTTTAGAATTATTTGGTCAAGTAACTTCGAATTTAACCAAAGTGTTAAACAAAGCTCATTATTCTAGCCACTTCTCAAAAATTTTGATAAAGATAAAAAAAAGTAAGGGCCCGTCATTTATACATAATTTTTAAATTAACATTATTTCATAACTATTCATTAAATTAAAATATGATGATATTAATGTTAAATTTGTTCAATTTTAGCCATATAAAGAGTAATAACTCCTAAACCCATGTTCATCCCAGTCTAAGATTTTGTACAAATATAAAGCAGTGTTAATATGACCATTTACGGTTTTACACATCCGGTTTTCGATAATAATAAAATGTCCAACATATTTATTTTTATGTCATTTTAAAGATCTTTTATTAAGCTACAAAATAAAATTTAAATTATTTTTCTAACATAATTATTTCTCGGGATATTTAAAAATAAATGAGGTGCATTTTGTCAAAAATGTACCATTTTTCCGCGCTTTAAATGGCCATATCTTAGCGGGTAAACAGTGTTGGAAGGTAAAATTTCATTGTTTCTTTATATAGTATATACTACCAGTATACAAAATTTAAGAAAAATTAAAGGGGGTCGGGTTGAAACCTTGGTTGATTTGATATGGACACCATATATATAATGTGTTAACGCATAACTAATTGGCTATATTTTATTGCAAAAAACCATGATTTAATCTACAACGTAAATTGGGCTAAGGTGAGTCTATTTACTTAAAGCTGTGTCCTAAATCTAAAAAAATATAAATAAATTTATCAATTTTGAAGATTAAAATAACATAAGCTATATTTTTAACGTAAAAATAAAAGTGTTCTAAAAATCATTTTTAGTCATTTAAAAAAAAATAATAAAATAATAATAAATTAATAAATTTAAAAAAATAATTTTTTAAAAATTTATTTATAATGGTAACTTTTATGGAAAAACTATTTTATTCTCGTTTTTTTTTTGTTTTATTTTGCAAAAAAAATAATGGAAGATTTCGGACACGTTTCATAATTTTATTAAATTGTTTAAAATTTTTAAATTTTAAGATTTTATTTCCAAAACATTTAGGACACAAGCCTAATGAGAATGTTAGGATTAAATTAATTTCCCCCTTACAAATTGTCAGATTTCGCCTAATAAATTAAAATCGCAGCAAAGCATTTTCAATTTTAAAAACATGAGCGAAAAGAGTATATATTTTTTTTAGCAAGGCGTCTTACTTATAGAACCGAAATTTATTCATTGTTAAAATAATATAAACCAAAACCTTCTCCGCTCTGAGCCATATCTTCTCCAAAAGTTCCTTCAGTTTCGGCGCCTCTAGACCTTTTGAACTTGACCATCTCATCATCGCCCATACTAGCCGCCGGAATTATCTCCTCGGCTTCGATAGGAACGCTGTCAAAGTCGAAGGGTTCGATCTTTGAATGGTCATCGGATAAATAGTGTAACAAACTTTTCTCTAAACACGCGGCCGAAATGTGGGTTTCTAATGAATAGGAAAGGGAGGGGGAGGTGTTTATAAGTTGTTTAATTTTCCATTTCATTTATCTATATATATATAGTGAATTCCATATCAAATCAACCAAAAAAAGTCGATTCTCAACCTGACCCCCTTCAATTTTTCTTAAATTTTGCATAATGGTAGTAAATACTATAACTAAGAAAAAAATGGAAATTTTACCTACCAACAAGGTTTACTCGCTAAGATATGGGCGTTTGAAGCGCGGAAAAATGGTACATTTTGACAAAATGTGCCTCATTTATTTTCAAATATCTCGAGAAATAATTAAGTTAGAAAAATAATTTAAATTTTATTATGTAGCTTAATAATAGTTCTTTAATATGACATAAAAATAAATATGATATAAATTTGATGAATGTCCAAAACCGGATGTATAAAACCGGAAATGTTTTTCTGTAGATAGATATAACACTGCTTTATATTTGTGCCAAATCCTAGCCTGGGATGAAAAAGGGTCTAGGAGTTATGACTCTTTATATGGCTTAAATTGATAAAAAATATCTTCATTTAATGAATACTTATGAAATAATGTTTTTTTTTAAATTATGTCTAAATGATAGGCCCTAACTTTTTTTTATTTTTAATTGTTAACATATTGTGACTAAAAATTACTTGACAAAATAATTCTAAACCAATTTATAACTTTATTTTTCTGAAATGCATAATTACATATAATATAATAATTCATAATTATGTTTACAATATATCATATATTAAATTATCTAAAGAATTGGAATAAATTTTGACTTTAATTTTATTTTCGTCAAGGGGAATATAAGCATGGTATTTTTGTGTTCTCGGAATTCTTTTTGCTCTCAAAAATCTGCTTTCTAGATAATTTTCTATATTATTGTATTCATTATTGCTTACAAAAATGTAATTTACTCCATGTATATTATTTGTGGCAAAGTCGAATAAATCCATTGGTGTCAAAATATGGTTTTGATATGGCCGTTGCAAACTAGCTCGAGCTGCTAGCCGTTTTTTAATAACTCTTAAACTGTCGCACGGACTTTTTCCATGAGCTGTAGCAAAAAAATGCCACTCGGCCTTTATACCAAAATCACATTCATGATTATAGAGATTTATGAAATTTTTTTTATTTTTATATTGGGTTACGGCCCCATCCGAAAAATAATAAATTTTGGTCAATGTATCAAATCTTTCTTTTAAAAATAAGATCATTTTAGTTTGAAATAAATAAAAGGCACAGGCATTGTGCTTAAACATTCTGATATCACCACTAAACTTATATGTTTTATAGTGTTGTCCTGACTATAATAAATGATAAAAGAGTGAATAGTGGACTGATTATTTGTCCAATGAAATCCCTGTGCATGGTGTTGCACTTTTTCCCAATAATATAATATGATTTTATTATTTTTTTAGTTTATAATAATTTAGTTTCTTTTTCCCAATAATATATTAATTTTATTATTTTTTCCGTTTAAGAATACTACTTTCGATTCGGAAAATTCATTTTTCTTTAATATAAATGAAAATTGTGATTATGATTTTAAGATGAAGTTGAAGTTATAGAGCTTACACATTAGGCGTTACGAAAACTACAATATGAATATGAATTTATCAATTAAATATGATGATATTTATTGAATTTTAATTATGATAGATTGTTTTATGCTAATAAATAAAAAAAAGTAAGGGCATATCATTTAGACATAATTTTTAAATAAACATTATTTCATAATTCATTAAATGAAGATATTTTTGATCAATTTAAGCCATATAAAGAATCATAACTCCTAGACCCTAGTTCATCCTAGGTTAGGATTTGGCACAAATATAAAGCAGTGTTATATCTATCTACAGAAAAAAAATTTCGAAAAAAAATACCTTTTTTTCTATGGCCATTTCCGGTTTTATACATCCGGTTTTGGACATTCATCATATTTATATCATATTTATTTTTATGTCATATTAAAGAACTATTTTTAAGCTACATAATAAAATTTAAATTATTTTTCTAACTTAATAATTTCTCGAGATATTTGAAAATAAATGAGGCACTTTTTGTCAAAAATGTACCATTTTTCCGCACTTTAAACGCCCATATCTTAGCGGGTAAGCCTTTTGGGGAGGTAAAATTTCATTTTTTTCTTAGTTATAGTATATACTACCAGTATGCAAAATTTAAAAAAAATTGAAAGGGGTCGGGTTGAAACCTTGGTTGATTTGATGTGGAATTCACCATATATATATATATATATATATATATTATATTAAATTGGATGCTAAACACTTAGTCAACCCTAATAACGCTTCACATCATCGCTTTCACTTTCCAAATCTAGTTTTCTTTAATTTATTTTTACCCATATTTAAGCTTCTTTATTTCATACCATCTTTTCCATTTTCACCAAAATAATCATTACCAATTTTTAGTTATGAAAAATAATGTAGGAATGTTTATAAATTTGAACAATATTCGACGACCCTAGGAGATAACTTAATCCTAATTAATTTTCAAAATGATAAAATCAACAAGAAGAATAATATGCCATCATACCATTATCGATGTAAGAATGTATCCTTTTCACGCGATTGCTATTCTCTACCCCTTGGACATTGTCCTCACCTCCGCCATCCAAGGTATCCAGTAGCCTTAAATAGTAGGTAGCCCTATCCCTGACCTCGTCGTCCTGGTCCATCAGGCACCTCTCGAGTAACACTTTGACACTGCCCCTTAGATCTTCACAGTAGAGGGCGAACTTGGCCAAGGCACTTACGGCGGCTTCAAATTTTTCAATCATACAGTTATGGAATTAGATATGATAAAGAAGAAGAAAAATCAAGACAGATAGAGTTCCATCCAAACAAATAAGAATACAAAATATTGACTCTTTCCTTGCCCTTTTATCTGAATTTTAAATTTTCTCACCGGCTCTAACAGCGGGAGCCTCCAATATAACTCTATTGTAAATGTATCGGATGTATTTGGTTGGTTGGGGCGTTTTGCATCCTTCTTTCCCAAGTAAGTGCAGGATTTTAACGGCTAGAACCGAATGCTCACAATCCTCTATGAATTCGCACAGATGGGCTAGACCTAATTTAAGGAATAATATTAAATGTGTAATAAATAAGGTGTACATTTTTCGTTTAAAAATATCTTTAAAAGGTCGTTTTACAAAATTAAATTAGTAATACTTATGTTGCACACATATCTAATTATTTGCTATAAGGCTCTAAAAACTCCTTTTTTAAAAATAATGAAATATTAGACAATACAATCTTGCCCTAGAGGAGTTAGGTGATATAATTATACTCATATTGTATGTTGACCAACTGTCTATCAAAAAAAAAATTTTGCCAGTAAAATTTTTAGAAGCGAAAATGGCTTAACCTGTTTCTTTGGCCTCTGGTATTTCTTGAATGATCGCGATGATAGTATTAACTATCGCCCTTTTATATTCGTAACCACCTTCGTCCCTTAGCATTGAGCTTAGGAAGTTCATCATGATTGAATGCTTACGGGGAAATTTCAAGCACAAGGACCTTTTCAAAGAAAAAATATATAATTCTTTCTTTTATTTTTTCTTTCCTTCCTTCTTTCTAGGAAATATATAATAAAAGGTCTTTTTTAAAATCATAATTGTTACCGTATAGCCTCGACTATGGTTATTTTAAATGGGTCGCTAATCTCACTGATGTAAGTGGAGATCTGTTTCATGAGCCTGTCTATACATGATTCGCTGCCTATCTTGAGCAGAGTGGTTATGGCCAAGGTAGAAACGGTGCGATTAGAATCCGTTATCATAGATTCTAATTCCGCATTGCAGGAAGATAGGAGGGATGGTTTTTTCATGGCTACCTTGGATAAAAAGAAATAAATAATTTAAGCATCTTACGTGTAATGTAATAACTTTTATTCATTCATCTACCACTCCTTACCTGATATAATCATTTGACGCCATATTCTGCATATTTATAACTAATTCAATGGCGCCCATTTTTAGATTCCTCCATACTTAAACCTTCTCATATTCTTTATCAAGCATTGAATCTGTCTTACTGCGTTAAGCGCCTTGACGGCTGCGAATCTGGTGGCCGCGTTTCCGGATCCGCAAAAAAGCTGTAGCACAGCCACCGCTGGGGCGCTCCTGTCTTTACGCGAAGGGACAGAGATGAGGGCGGAGGCGGCTTCGAACACGACGGCCTCGCTTTTGTGACGCAAGCAGCTCTCGAGAAAGTCGAAATAGGGGCCGGACGAGTTCGCGTTACTGTCGGGATGGTGTTTAAAATTATGGATTGCATTATATATATTTTTCTCAAAATAAAATCTTAAACCTGGAACCGAAAGAACCGGCCTCAGTGCTTGAAACGCTCAATTTGTGCGCAATATAAAATGGATGTTAAACGACTTCATTTAGCCGATTTTTTTAAAAAAAAAGTTAAATCAAGATTTTAGCCGAAATATTTTAAACTAAGCCTCGAAATTTCGCCAATAGGCCCAACAATGTTAATTAAATAAATTAGTTATAACACTTTATCAGACACACTTCCGCTTCCTAAAAATTTTTAATTTAAATTTGATACAGTTCCAAGGATTTCGTTTTTTTTAAAAAAAAAGAAGAGTTTGAGCTACTCTCATACATAAAAACCAATAAATAGGAGATAAAATTTCGGGGTAAGTTGGTTCACACTCGGAGAAATAGAAATTAGTTATAATATCAATAAATTTTCACGATTATATAATTAAATTTTTTTTACTTGTATTCATCCTCGGCGATCAATTGGCAGGTTATCCTAATCTATAGAGTTCAAAATTTAAATAAAATTTAAATATCCATTTTAGGGACATGCAGACAGGGATCCAAACCGCAAAGAATATCGGTACCTCTTTGGTTCAGTTAATAATAACGGTTAATACAGTTTTAACGATTCGGTTTTATTCCCTACACGTACACCTCAATCAAAACACGGTTTGAGCACAAGGTTTTAAAAAATAATAATTAAAAATATATCAAAAATAAAAATCCGGTCCAGACAAAAAAATACCAGGTTGAGCCAGGTTTGAAAATAAATTTAAAAAATTCAAAACCAGGCCAAGCCAAGTAATCGATGCTTTTGCAGGTCCCTGATTTAAATAAAATATAGTATGTTCTAAAAATTAAGATTATATTTAGACTTTTTTCTCTGAGAAAGAAAGAAAGAGAAGAAAGAAAGAAAGAAAGAAAGAAAGAAAGAAAGAAAGAAAGAAAGAAAGAAAGAAAGAAAGAAAGAAAGAAAGAAAGAAAGAAAGAAAGAAAGAAAGAAAGAAAGAAAGAAAGAAAGAAAGAAAGAAAGAAAGAAAGAAAGAAAGAAAAAGGAAAGAGTTGCCAGTAATACAAATAAAAAATATGTAGTTAAGGCTTACAAGCAAAATGTACGCATATGGGGATCTCAAGCTACCTTTGCAAAACTTTGAAAAGAGTTTGGATATAGCAAGTCTATCGGATTTCTTAACTTGATATAAGAGTCCTAAAGCTAGATACTAAAAAAAATTAATTAAGGTGAGTTAAATTATATTGGTATAAATATAACAAATTATTTTATGATTTTAATCTTGACATGAAATTAGCAATTAAAAATTCAAAATGTGCATTTTTCCTAAAAAAAAAACTTACTTGAACCATAACATTGTCAGAATTGATTGCTTCCTGAATCTCGTTAACCCATCTTTTAACAATTTCAAGGCCTTGATGTTTGCATAGATGCTATAAATAGATATTTATATGTATATTTTGTCCATCTTTATTGGGGTTTTTTTCTTTTTCTATCTTTCTATCTACCTTTCCTTCTCAGCACACATTTATTAAATCATTTATGAGCTAACCATTGATGAAGTAAGTGCAGCACTTGCAACACTGTGATTTTTGTCAACTATTGCCTGTTTCATGTAGCGTTCAATGGCTTGCATCATAGTATGCTGAAGAAGAAAAAAATTAAATTTATTATCATAAGTGTAAAGAAACTAATAAATATTTTAAAATAATGATTAAATTAACAACAAGAAAAATAATAAATAATATTTTTAACTAGACTAGATCATTCTTGGTTATCAAAAATTAATACATGATATACTGATAATCATTTTAGGGAAAATAGATTGAAAATTTTTATTTAATGGGGTTATAAAATATAAAATTACGTCAGTAATTGAGCATAATGTCCTGATAGCTGGTCCTCTATATAAATCTTCCTGTAATAATTTTAATGTGCATAGAACAAGTTAATACATAAAATTTAATACAATTAAGTTATTTGATATAATAATTTATTGTTACCCTTCCAGTCATGTCTTTAGTCAAGCTATTAATTTAAGGGGAGGGGGGAAGAGGGGGGGGGGGTTAAAAGATATTAAATAAACATTTAAAAAAATTTAATATGTTTTTTAAAATTCAATTTTTTATTAAAATTCACAAATACGATAAAATATTATTATTTAAAAATTAACATTATAATATAGAGAATATAATAAAATATGTCATATATCAGTTTAAGTTAAAAAAAAGAAGATTGACACAATATATATTTTTATAAAAAGAAAAAAAAATAACAATATTCAATGGCAAGGTCGGGCCATGATGTTTTAAATATTTGATAATTAGATCTAATTATAGATAAGGCAATTTTCTGCTTGAGTTTATAAAATGGAGAAATGTATGATTTTTTTATTGATTTGGATATTGTTTTGAATAGGTCTAAAGCCGCTTGTCCAAAAGTGCAGGTTGATGTAGCTACTATAGGAACAAAGTGGTTATCACACATTAGGTGTGAGTATTTTATATTTTTTAGAGATTCGGCTCTGTTAAGGGAATCATGGGAATTATTAGATTGAGCCATGGGATCAATTCAGGTAAAATCCCCATTAAAGGCTTTCCCGTAAAAAAAGATACTACGGTTTTGCCGTCAGGGCGTTTTTTATCCAAAAAGGATGTAGGTTCTAAAATACAGGTAAAATTGGCTTTATTGAAAAAAGAAGCTATTATTGCATTTATTTTATCATGTCGGTTGACTTTTGATATAAATTTACAGTGGAGGACGAGCGTGTATGCCGATTGATTGCATTTAATGCAAATATAATGGTTTAGGATATGCCCAAGCGTAAATTGATTGCATAATGAAAAGTGTCGTTATCTATTAGCTGGTTATTTAAAATACTGGGATATGAATCTAACCATACATGGCCAGAGTTGTTGAAATTAAGAGATCTTAGTAGGGATTTATATTGGTGATCATTGCTCAATTGAGGTAAGCTAAGGAACGAGATACCAATCCTTGATCCCAATCTTTTTGTCGTTGAATCTGGTGGGGCTGTGTTTGGTACATTAATATTCCAACAACATAAGGCTTCATCTAATAAATTATCTTTATTGATGGTAATTTTTTGCGAGGTAATATATTTTTACTGATAAGGTTGATGAGATAAAGGAAACAAGGGCTATACTTAATGCCGATCTTCTTTTGGACAAGCAGCTTTAGATCTATTCAAGACAATATCCAAATCAATAAAAAAAATACCTTTCTCCTTTTTACAAACTCAAGCAGAAAATTGTCGTATCATAATTAGATCTAATTATCAATATTTAAAACATCATGGCCCAACCTTGCCATTTGATATTATTTTTTTTAAATGTTTTTTTTTCTTTTTAAAAAAATATACATTTGTATCAATCTTCTTTTTTTTGTTATCAAAAAAAATTAATCATAATAATCATTTATATTTTAATTTATTATTTATAATAAACTTTCCTAATCAAATAATTATACCTGCTAGTAACTATAATCACATCTTGTGCTAGTGGGGCCAAATCTTTAATAACTAAATATACCATTCTTCTTAATAGTGGCTACATATTTTATAGATTAAATTATTTAAATATTTGTACTACAATGATTAATTTAAAATATCAAATAAAAAAATTACTTCTTTTGATTGAAATAGTTTTGTTGTTGCAAAAAAACATTCAGTTGCTTCACGAATACCAATTGGCTCACTCTTAAAGCATTAGTTATAAATGAAAATTAATAACTTAATACTTGATTGACTATATATAAGATTTTTGTCAATACTAATGCACATTTTTTAGCATTAACTGGCGTTTCATTAAACATTCTTGCCTTTTGTTTTAATTGTACACAATATATCATATATTATTTACTTCTTGTAAAACCATAGTTTTATCCAGATTGTGGAACATATTAAATCCATGGCCTTCATTAAGAAAAGAAGTTAAATTTAATAAATATGATGAATATTATATATATATATAGATAATTACCCAGTTCTTCATCTTTTTTATCACGTTTTAAATAGTACATGTTTTATCAGATGGTGACGTTAAGCTCTAATTTTGGCTATTGATAATGCACGTCGACGGATAATTGGCCCTAAAACCAATAATATTATTGATATCATTGACTAAACCATGACCATTTTTTATAATATATGTGTTAAATAGGCAAACATTTAATAAGCTTATTATATAAATATTGAGTAGTGATAGTTACAATTTGGGTTAAATTCTTTTTAAAGGAATGATGTAGCTTCTAATCTGCTAGAGAATGTATAATGCAATAATAGTATTAATCAGATAGTGATAAGTTAATTTATTCTATATATATATATACACTTATTTAAAAATATATAAAAAATTTTAATAGTTTGTTAAACTATTTTTAATATGTAAATCAATAACTAGCTTCATTAGAAGTATTATATACCATTATTATAATATCATATCTTATAGGCCATAGCATAGAAATTTCTAACTTAAATTGAAAAAAAGGGCACGAAAAATTGCCCCCATCTGAAATCAAATTCACTTAATAACTCTCAGACCACTAACCTACCATTTATCATTAAAAATAACGAGTTTTGTATTTATTACTAATTTATCATTTGATAAATAATTTTTATTTAGTTTATAAAATATAAAAAAAGTTTTTCTTTTGCAGTTACAAATTAGAAACAACATTGCTCAAAAATATGCATATTCTTATACAGGTCATGTTGTGATTAATTCAATAATTAGCCCATATCTTACGAATACTCGAATACAATCTTCAGATAATGAATAGGCAAGTTTTTAATTATGGAGAGACTTTACATGTTTCTTTTTCATTTTAAAAAACTTTAATTCAATTCCAGTTGGTATATTACAAGGACAAAAATAAATAAATACTTTAAACATGTTTTCATCACAAAAATATTTCTATCCCCTTGACTAACTTTAAATAGAACTCACTTTCTTTAAACTTAAACATCCTCACCTCATGACCTTCTCATCGGGTGGCCACTCCTCCCAAATCGACTTCTTCCTATCCAATATCCACAGCTGGTTTGCAGATGTAAAGGCCATCCTAAATATAAATGTATCAGATCACAAATTAATTAAAGCACATATAAAAATACGAAGTGAAGAATGGAGAAACAATAACACCAGGTGCATCTATAGCACAACACGCGCAGCGCCAGAACAAACTCCCAAATGGCACTTCACCAACATAAACATAACAGCCTACAATGATACAATCTGCTCAGACATAGCTAGAATTATCCAGTCCTTATCTACCAAATCATTAGAAATGTTGGACAGATTTCAAAAGTGCAATTTTCCAAGCCTAATACTAAATCATAGCCAAATACCAAAAAGAGAATGGCTCTCAGTAGGAACAAAAAACTTAATCTTATCAATAAAAAACGATAGCAGCCGCAATTTAGTACTATGGAGAAGTATTCAGAGATTACTACGCAGTGATCGAAGGATTTTCTTAGCAAAGAGAGCAGAAGACATAGAAATGGATATAAGAAATAACAAACTCACGACGCTTACAAAAAGCTCAAACACTTCTGCAAACCAGCATGCTTCAAGAAATTACCTATACTATCTCTACAAGATAACAAATACACAGACCCTGAAGAGCTAATGGCCATCTGGACAGACTTCTATATGTCAGCCTTCGAGTCCAGGATCCCTTCCAAGATAGCGAGCCTCCAACAGACAGGCTTGCCATTACCCCATTCCGATTTCTCCCTCATAGAAATCAACAGAGCCATAAGCAAGCTAAAAAAACAATAGGACTCCAGGCTCTGATGGGATCAGAAATGAACATATGAAAGCTGCTCCAGAAATCACTTCTAAATATCTATTAGCCATATTCACAAAAATATGACATTCAGGCAAAACCCCAGATGATTGGAATAAATCCACAATCTGCAACCTCCCCAAGATACTCCATTCTTCATCGTTCGCAGATTACAGAGCCAATGCTCTCATTTCCGCAGTCTCAAAGGTGTTCATGGTGCTCCTGAAGAACAGAATCCTCGCTTCTACCAAAAACCTCCCGTCAAGTAATATTTGCGCCTGCAGGCCAAATTAGAACATTAACGAACCCATCCTAGCTCTCAAAATCCACCTCCAGAAATGCTTCAGATACAAACTTCCCTTCATATTTACTTTCATTGACTATAGCAAAGCCTTTGACACCGTTAAACACGATGCCCTTTGGGAGGCTCTAGTAGAATGTAATGTTGATCAAAACATAATCAAAATCTTGAAATATCATTACAATAATTCTTGGGCTAGGTTACAGCTAGGCCGTACTTTCTCTCCTTACTTCAGGATCAGAAGAGGCGTGAAACAAGGGTGCGTTCTAACACCTATTCCCTTCAACGTAATGATACACAAAATCATAAAAGAAACCACGAGCACCATGAACCTAGTCGATCTTTCATCAAACAATACAATATCAATCATCTAATAATCATCTAGTACGCAGACGACCTGGTTTTAATTACCAAGTCAAGAGATGAGACAATAGACTTACTAATAAGTCTCTGCTTCCACAGTAACAAAGTCGGCCTAACCATCAACTTCAATAAAACTTTTATCATGCCATCCCCAGATGCGTCAATAGATAACTTAACATTTGAGGGGAATGAAATCAAAATAGTCAATAACTTCAAATATCTTGGCGTGCTTATTGATAATAAAGGAAACATCAGTGGCGAAATCGAAGCCCGACTAAAAAATGCCAAAATAACCTTCATGAAATATCACAAACTATGGACAGCCAGAAAGATCTCAGTCAAAACGAGACTCCGAATATTTAACGCTACAGTCATTCCAGTCCACCTCTACTGCAGCGACACTTGGGAAATAACCAGACAAAGAAAATACAGGTTTTCGTAAACCGCTGTCTGCGCCAGCTCAACGGTATTTTCTATCCAAGATTAATTTCAAATGCCAGCCTATGGCGAATCCCAAAAAACGTCCCGATCGAGACTACTCTCAAAAAAAAGACACATCCAACTCTTTGGTCATACCATCAGAAACTTTAGACAAAACATAGTTCATGAAGTTATAATCTGGCTCCAGTCTCATGAACGTAAAACCTACAGTAAATGCAAGTCATATTGGCTGTACAGAACGATAAAAGAAGTCAAAAGCCTAAATCTGACGATGGAACAATTCATACATCTAAACAATAATAAAAGCTCAATAAAAAAGCTTCTAAAAATCAAATCGAGCTACCTATACCCTCCAAATCTCTCAGCCCCTCTCCCTTTAGCATAAGCAGCACCTTCCTCCAGCCATGGTAAACATACATTTATTTATTTATAAAACTCCTCATGTACCTAACCTTGATATAACTATCCAAAATATACTTAACTTATACAATCACTTCTCTAATCTAATAATCTTAAGTAGTAAGGCAGGTTTATTAACAAAATATATCATATTTATATTAAATAAACAAATTCAATATAGACCATAAACTTAAAATTAACCAATACCCCTCCCTATAATATACATTTTACTTAATCGGGTACGGGCTTTTCTCTCTCTTCTTATCTCCCGTAGGCGTTTAAGCAAGTGGTTTCGCCTCTTGCGCGCACATGTAACTGCAGCCTGCCCAAAAATTGTGGATGGGTTCATCTCATAGGCTACCCCCAAATTTCTTAACCCAATTAGATGGGACGAGATAGTCCAAGCGTAGCTCTGCTGTTTCATATAGCGATAAAGGGCGATTGCGCTTATTATGACGTATGACGGAACTTTAAGTTTTTGTAAAAAGATAGTTTAAAATCAAACCCATTTAAAAATTTAACGAACAAACTAGTCACTAACTATTTTAAAATTAAATTATAATTTTTTTTTATACTAGCTGCAACTACGATTTTTGTAGAATGACCATTTTATATAATTATTTTTTAAATCATCATAATATAATAAAGGTGTTTTTTGAAAAAAAATTATTATCAAATTTATATTATTTAATTTCTTTAAATCAAATAATCATATTACATAATAATATTTGAATATGATGTAATATTGCTCTGCTATTGCTAGATTGCACTGACAAATAAAAATTAATATATATTTTTTAATGAAATAACTTCCATGTAATTTAAGTTTTAATTGCTTGATATTTGTTAATTTATTATTATATATTGTTAGATATGTATTAATTTGAATAGGGAAATTTGGATAGTCAGATTTTTGTTAACATTGTATTTGTGAAAATACATTGGAATATAATTTGCATTGTAAATTTAAATTTTTTGAACCCATTATCATATATCTGTCTTTATTATATAAATTTTAACATTCTGGGGTCATATAAATTTTGATCATTAACTGTTTTATCTTAATATAATAAATATTAGAAATATTTAATAAAGATTTTACCCTTTTTACAATTTGTATCAAATTAATATTGAATCCTATTCTAATTTGACTTCACATTTTAGTGCACACATAGAAATATGTCAAATATTTTGAGTATGCTATAAATCAACTATTAAATCCTAAGTAAAATTATTTTATATTTCTCATAGTCATGAAAAATAGAAGTAAATTTCATAACTCATATGCTCCAAGAGTTCATTTTTAATATTAAAATTAACTAAAATTTTAACCACTAATTGGTTTGTAATAAAAAATGATATTTATATTTAAATATCGATTCAGAATATATTTATTAGAAATAATGGCTTAAATTTTAATTTTAAAAAAATATTGGTTTCTTTTGAAATTTACACTTAGAACAACTAATTTATTCAACAAACTTGCAAAATACTGTTAGTTCCCGAGCCAAACCGCTCGAAAGCCCCCCCCCCCCATTTTATGTTTACATAAAAATCATAGCTGTTCTCTGGTTTACTTTCAAACAAACAATCTGTTATACTTACTAATCTTAAATTTGCCAATCTCGAAAATGTTTAATGAGTCAATGCGATCCCCAGTCAACTGGCTTTCCCCTCATTCCTTAACAGGTGAAAATTTTAATTGTACTTCAAACTGCTTGTAATATCGTTTTATCTTTCATTTGTAGAGCTATATGGCATGT